AGGAGGAAGTCACCCTTGGGAGACAGGTAAGAGAAATGAGGCAGCAACTGCATAGTGTTGTCTGTGTTAAATACATAAATTTAAACCACCTCCCAAAACCAATGCAAAGGACTCACCGCATCTCCTCGTTAATTTTATGAAGTCACAGAGTTTTAGCTCTTTTTCCCAATGAAAAAGGCTTAAAGACTTGAAGGGTTAGAGCCATTCCTCAATAATTTGGAAACAACCAATAATCAATACATAAAGATTAACTGAGAAAGAAAATTCATTTCTGCTTTTTCTGCAATGAGCCTAGGGAGTGTCACATAAAGGAGCAATAGATTGAGAAAACTGCCAAAGAATTTGTATAAGCAGAACAAAACTCATAGTTTCCCCGGACCAAACCCAACAGCCCAAGCAGGAGAGATGATGCTTGGGGGCTTTTTAGGAGGCGATCGATGGCTCACTTGATTTGGTAGGCAACATTTGATAGAAAAGCATATATTTTCTGGAGCCCAGCCTCTACTTAGTGCCTACCTGCTGGAGAAAATCAAAGATAAAGATGCAAATCCCTGGGAAGCCAGGGACACAGCTAACTGGACGCCATTTGTGACTATTTGAAGTCCATGAGTTCCTCAAGTATTGATCTTTTTTTCTCCTTATGAAATGTTAACGTGTGTTCTTATTCATTCACCTGCCTCTGGCTGTTCCTTACTAAAGGTTAAGTGGTTGTGAAACCACATGCACTACAGAATCCAAAGCAGCTGTTTGAAACTCTTGAACAAGGAGTAGTGCCTTGTAGCTCCTGGGGCAGCTGAGGGTGGGCTCTCTCTGACCATCTGTAGGTTTTAATGTGCTCCGTCCATCTCGTGCCAGCGTGGCTTGCCAGAGTTGGAGTCACTGTGCTTGGAGACACTGCAGGAGGGGGTCAAGGCGGGGGCGGGGGGGCGTGCTCTGCAGCCTCCTGGGCCTCTCCAGCAGGTGCACTTGCCTTTTCATTCTAAGGCTGTTTTTCTTACCCTCCGCAAGCACTCATACACAGAACTGTTATTACTTGTTACTGCATGTTGCTGATTCATACTCAGAGGAAAAAGTAATTTTGTCTTCAACACCTCTTCCCTGTCATGTAAGGCATATGTTAATGAAAGACAGATTTTGGCATCCACTCTCCTCTGTAGCTTTGAAGCCACAATATAAGATTCATTATAAATGAAGATGCAACTGTTATTTTACTTCTATTTATATTTATAACAACACCAAAGCCATCTTGCAGGTACCTTTGCGCCTCTTGAATCCCAAACCATATTCCAAGAAATGCTCAACATTTTATGCTTGAATTGGCATTAATGTGGCATTAACGTACATACAATGTTTTAAAATAAAGATGTTTTCACTCATATTTTGTTACTGACAATCCCTGAATTCACATCTTTTAGATTATACTAAAGCTGAATCCCTTGGAAGACATTTTAAGGCTTTTTCAGACTGCCTTTTTTTCCCCCTCTCTGTAAGTGAGGAGTATGCAGGCGATGGGTGCTCGGCTTGCTGGCTCGGCTCGGAGGGGAGCCAAGTGGAAGCCAGAAGGGGGTGGGGCAGGAGCAGAAGTAAACATATGCAGAATGCTGAAAAGAACTGATTGAAAGCTTTTGCTTTGTCATTCCTCTTAGTTCCTTTCCTTCTTTTCCTTCCCATTTTGTAACTGTGGACCAGTGCAATGCACTTATTTCATAGAATCACCGGCTCTGGAATGAGCTGTCACCTTGTAGATTGTCTCATCCAGACTCCTACCCATTGCTATAATTCTCCACTTGATTCAGGAGCTCCTTTTCTTCTCCAGCAGCTTTCCCAGCAGCATGTGAGCTATCGATTAAAAGTGTGCTGATGAGACTAGAGTTTTTGGAATCAGACAGTTCTGGGTCCAAACCGTGGCTCTGCCACGGATTGGCAGTGACATCTGGGCAAGTCTCAGAGCCCCAGTGTTATCTGTTAGATGGTCAGGACAGAAATGAATTCATAGGCGTCTGAAGATGAAATGAAGTAATAATGTAATATATAAAAATATAGTATATAGAAGACTCAGCACTGGTTGCTAAATTAAGAGTAGTTAAGTGGTTCAAAAGGAACCAAGACCCATACTTTCTGTTTGACTCTGAGGCAATTCTTTTACACCGCATCTTACTGTCTTTCTCACAAGGTCTCATAAAGCCACTGAAAGTTTCTGTTGCTGGAATACTCTCCATATGTGGCCTTGCAGACTGTAAATGCTGTTATTAAGAACAATACCTCCCATATATTCAGTGCTTTAGAATTTACAACGCACTTTCACAAGTGCAGGGTGGGGAGGTGGGGAGGGGAGGCAGGGGAGTACCCACACCAGCTCGATGTCTACTGGTGACTAACAGAGGCCGGAAGCAGGAGCTGCGGAGGCTCTGAAAGAGGTCTATTAGTGATGCAAATGTGAAGTTATCTGCACTTGTGAGGAGCATAATAAACATTAAAACCAATTAGAAGTAACAACGAGTGATATATTCAGGCTTCAGAACTTGGCTTTGAGGAGTTGGCAAACCGTAGGAATACAGCACGGGAGTTTGGGGGCAAGAAATTTACCTGAAGTGTAGCAGTAGAAATATGGGTGCGTTTTCCCATACAAACTAGAGTATAGTGACTATTTAGATTGCAGAATGGTAGAAACCTCCATGTGTTCATAGTTTAGAGACAAAGCATATGGAATTGAATCAAGCAAAGCAAGTCATTTCTCAGAATCAACATTCACTGAGTGCTTCAATACGATAAATCTATCACACTGAATGCAAAACTTTTAATAATAGAAACTGTTACCTTGACGTTCTTACAAAATTCTGAAATAGTTCTTCATGTGTGAGAGTTTTTACATTTGGAAATTCGCTCAAAAGCGAATTTTTAGAAGTGGAGAGAAAAGAGGCTGCATTTTTAATATAGAATATTTCATTGTTTCTGTATCGTAAGAAGATGAAGGAACATCTTTTTCTGTTAGAAAGAAAATGGTCCTTTTGAAATTCAGCTCCCTCAGAAGATGAATTTTTAAATCTCAAATTCTGTCTAACTAACTGGTCCTAGCTTTATGTCCATGCAGAAAAAATAAGAATTTCATGCAGCTACCAAATATTTTAAACTAATATCCAGGCAGATACATTTGCAACACTTCATGATTTTTTAATACCTACAGGCAATATTCCAAATCAGGTCTTTCTCCCCCCCACCCCCAATACCCCAAAAATCTGTATTTTGTCTAGCAGCAAACTTTAAGTAGGGGGCTGATTTAGGTGGGCTAAGCAAGAGAAAAGACTGACCAGACAAGTGGAAAGACACTTGTAGAAATGGCCCTACCGAGTAGCCATGTGGCACGGGAGGTCTATGCTAGACAGAGTCCAGAAGAGCCCAGTTTGTGTCTCACAGTCCAAATTTGGCTGATGTATTTTTGAAGTTTCTAAAGGTTAACTACATGCTATAATACATTATAGAAAGACACAAAGCTGAATTTTACTCTGCCAGTCAAAAGCCTGGCTTTAAACTGCTATTTAGGACTGAGAGAGAGAGTGTACAATTTACATGTGTGAGAATGTGAGAATGATTTTACCTTCTGTTGTTTTTAAAACCACCTTAGGCCACGATTTTTAAATTGAGGCACAAGAAGATCTGCTGGGGTTCCCATAGCGACATTAACTTGTTTAACTGTCCTTGTTGAATGTAATACTTTCAGGACTAGTTTGGCTTTTAAATGTATACTTTAATTATGAAATACAACTGAGTGAAGAGTCTCAGGCACATTTTAACTTCTGCATTTATTGACTGATGCCATGTAAACAGAAAGCTTGATATTGTACTTCTGAGGAATTGCCCCCAAGGCAAGTGTATGCAAAACCCTTTATGTGGTCTTCCTGCCCCGATGTCTGGCCTCACTGCATTCCATTCCATATGGGATGCCTCAATCTCTCTAAATGTATTTATAACATGAGTAGGATAAAACAGAAACAAACTAACCTCGGATTGCTCCAGACTAGAGACTAGAAGCCAATGTGCCCTCTATTCAAGGCTGTCTAGCAGCTGACTCCTACCCCATCTTTTCTCCACAATTCATCATAGGGAATGGCCCACACCAAACACACTTGTCTTCTCCCCATCAGGGACTAGGCTGACACCTACTGCCCCCCAGAACCTGATGTTTCCCCCTTCCTTCCCACCAACTAATCTTTCTCTTTGGAACCACTATCGCTGCCACTAACACTACTCTGGGACACGCTGTTTGTGACCAGGCAGCATCTCTCCTTTTTTCTTTTGATAACAGTGTCTTCATTTTCCTTTGAGGAACTTTCCTGCACCTCCATACATTCAGGTGGCACCATCAGTGAAGCTTCCCTGCCCCAAACTGTCGAGAGATGAATCCATGACCCAAGTTAGACCAATCACATTCTTCCGAAAACTGAATTTTAAGTGCATTCAAAAAGGAAAAAGAGTGGGAACTCAATTTTTCCAATGGTAGTCCTTCAAGAGATTTCCATTTCTTCTAGATTTCTGTGGCTCAAAGTCTGCTAGCTGCTAGGTTCCCTATTTGAGTACCTGTTTATATATTATCTGAGATTGTGATTTAGAGGCTTGGGATGTGCATGTTTTGCTTTGACAGCCAGATCCTATCTATGCTCTCTGAAGACAGGGCTGGGTCTGTATTTATTGTATTAGTCCATATAATTTAGCACAATGTAAAGTACTCAGTACTCTGCTATGTTGTACGACAAATGAAAAACCAATCTTAGAAACTCCATTTTTACAAAGTGCAATTTGAAAGCCAACTTATATCCTTTTTGAGGCAAGGTGGTAATAAGAATTTTGGCGGGGGGGGATAACAGTTGACTTAAAGAGAGCTTACAACAACTTGTACACCTAATAATAGCCTGAAAATAATGTTAGCATGGGTCATACTTCCCCAATTTTAGGAAACAGAAACTAAAATTCTATTTCAGACGTTAGTCTCTGAATTTAAAAAAAAAAAAGTTTTGGGGTAAACAGAAAAGGAGAAAACAAAAAAATTCACCTAGGCCTTGTGACTTGCGGGGGAAACAAGGAGTACTGTCTCTCTGCTATCAGATAAGAGAGGAAGAGAGTTTAACTATATTAGACTAACACATAAACAAATGGTTTTTTTTGCACTTCTAAAAAATGGCAGGGTATGGTTTCTCAGAATCATCTGACTTATAGCAGTAATTTAATTGAAAGCTTATAAATTTCAGAGAACAAACAAAATGGTTAGACATAAACACAAACAAGCTTGAGCACATTAAGCTTTGAAAACACAGAATATGGTACACTCTTCCAAATCATTTACGAGTGCTTAAACAAAAGAGCTCACCCATGATAAACAGCAGGATATACAAATTCTCTTTTCTTCTGGTTGTCCTTTCAAAAATGAAAGATCTACAGAAGTCTTTGTACAGTGTAATCCTCATGATTCAGCCATGAGAAAGGAGTGAAAATCCCAACTTGGAGGTTTTTTGAGTCAAGTGTAATGGTTTCTGGAATTTGCCTTGAACCCACACTCGGTGCATTTTCACTTGTTTTTTCCTATTCACTTGTAAACGACGATCAACCAGATTTTGCTTCTCGTCTAACCCAGCCTTGCAGAACATATTGTGGACTTCCCCTGTGAGACAAAAATGGCAATCAAATGTATATGTGACTGGTGCATGGTGGTGGGAGACAGGGGGACAGTCAGGAACAATGGAATATTAATGGAATGACTGACCATCTAAATTTCAGTTATACTAAGAGACTCCCCGGTACAAACTGGTTAAGGAAACCTGTAAAACCAAATGGATTTCTTCTACTTCACAGAAATACACCAAGTATGAACAGCTTAATATGGCAGGCATAAACAGATATACAATACTACTGGTTGCAGATTTCAATATTTTGAAAGGTGCCCTCTGTTCTGAGGTTTTTTTTTGTTTCCAGAGACCCCAAATGGCACATTATAAAAGTACTCACATAAGTTTGGAGAAAATCCTTGAGTGGAGAATTCATTTTAAACACTTTTTTAAAAATGAGAAATTGACAAGAGATAAGTAATTTTCCATGGACTCTTAAAATCAAGTTCCCTCCTCTGGCTGTGGTATGTCATCATTTTATTCTATATCTGAGCTAACAGTATTTCCAAAATGGAACAGACTACACCTTCACTTGGCTATAAGAATGAAACAAGCGATTCTTTAAAGCAGTTTCAACTGGAAAAAGATTAAAAGACAAAAAGGCCATTTTCGAGCTTTCACATAGAACAGTTATAGTGTGGTTACAGAGTAACCAAAGAGAGTTCTTACAGCTAATTACTTTCCCTTAGAGATAAGCATACCTTTTGTAAAGAAATATACTCTGGTACCATCTCCTCGAACATAAAAATTTTCAGATAAGCAATGTCCTGAAAAACATAATTGTGATCAGAGAAACTTAGTATTCCTTAAAACAAAACAGAAACGTGACATAAAATATAAACAAGGCATTTTTAAAACACATGAAAAGAATTCCAAACTGAATATACCCCTTTTAAAACGAAGCTGAGTCTTATCATATCTTCCATAATCCCGAAATAATAGCACTCCTCCAGGTTTCAGTAAGTTGGACAGTCGGTTTACAACGCCTTGCATCCTTTGAAAACAAAGCAAGATACTATCTGAAGAAGTCTTGCTTTACATGACACATTTAACCTTTTTAAAGATAAAATAAGGAAAGTTCCATGGGGCCAAAAAAATCTCACCACAAACCTAAGGGCGATGAAACCAAAAATATTTTGTACAGAAAGGAAAATGGATACCAAAACTTGCTAAACGATTAGACTCAGAAGACCTAGAGCATAAATCACCCAAATGACTGAGTGGTGTCTTCGCAGAGCTTGATGATGTCAAAGCTGCACTGCAAAACTACATAGATGGTTCCTGGTATTTCTATCAAGTTACGGTAGTCCCAAGGCAGATAAACATTGAAGTCACTTCATTTTCCTTGCAAGATAAAAAATATGGTGGAGCCATCCCAAATTGCACATATCTAAACAGAGATCACGTTTCCTCCAAAACTAGCCCCTTCTTCTTTATTTAGTTCAAAGGTGCCCTCATTCACTGAAGTGTTACACCTCAGAGGTATTTTTTTTTTTTAGATTTTTTAAAAAATTTATTTATTTGACAGAGAGAGATCACAAGTAGGCAGAGAGGCAGGCAGAGAGAGAGGAGGAAGGAAGGAAGCTCCCTGCTGAGCAGAGAGCCCGATGAGGGGCTCGATCCCAGCACCCTGGGATCATGACCCGAGCCGAAGGCAGAGGCTTTAACCCACTGAGCCACCCAGGTGCCCCATACCTCAGAGGTATTTTTAATCCCTTTTCTTTTCCTCCTCTTTCACGAGTCTCTCCACAACCACGTGGTCATCCTATTCTAGGTCTTCTTTTTTTAAATGATGTTTTGTCTCCTTTTTGTTTCCCTTTTGTAGTCCTTTAGTACAAATTGCTACCTCCTTAGGCCTGGAAACAGAATACTTTCTAACATCCTTTATTATTCCCCTGTTAATTCTTCCTGCATATCAGTGAGGAATTATTCTACTTAAAATGATGGTTTTGTCAAATCATCCCTTTGCTCAAAAATGTTCATGATTTTAATCCATAGGATAAAATCTCAATTTCTTAGCTGGGCTCTTAAGATCTCCTTCAACCGGCCTCAATCTTTCCAACATCTTTCCCACTATACCCTAATGTGAAGCATCAACTCTGCCCTAACTGTTCCAAGCTTGGCTCTGAAGCAATCCATGCCTTTGTTCACGTGGTTCCCCTCAAAGAATTCTCTCTTATTTTCTGCCTATTTAAATTCTATTCACACTCCAAGCCCCAGCTCAATACTGGGAAGCCTTTACTTACTTTCTTTTATTATTTATTCTTTTCATCTGGTTCCCAATCAAATACAACCCCTTGTGACTGCTCTTGACTTAATGTTTTTGGTTAAATGTTCATGGTCTTATGTGTGATTATGGGTCAGAGATGGCAAAGATTTCAGATCTCATATCCATGCCGAGTGACTGACATTGGCTGCCTACAGAGCTCAGTGGGAATGACAATCAGGGTACAAAATCAGTTATGAGTGTCTGCCCTGAGCAGAGAATGGTAAATGGAAGCCCGTGTGCTGAGTCCTAGCTATCTCTGCTTTATCCACGCTACTTAAAGCTTCTAGATTTTATTTTAAAAATGAGGAGTTTGCATCAGATAATCTGTAAATTCCTTCCAATTAAAACAATGTTCAGTGGAATAAAGGAGAGAAAAGCCAGATTTATGTCAGGTTATGAAGGAAGTAGATAGTGAGAAAATGAAAGTCACTATGAAAACAAGATAGAAATATAACATAAAGAGGTGGCAAAATTAGATGAAATGCTCTCTTAAAAAATTGGAACATAAGTACATGAAAGGGAAAAAAAGAAAAGTCTTTTTCCTTGTTTATTTTGTTAGAGGTTATTTTCACACTGTTTATGGCTTTAGAGTTCAGCAATTAAAGAAAACCATATCTAAACCTTAAAATATTCGCATTCAGGATAAATGTCTTATGTACAGAGAATACCTTTCTGCAATTACTACTAAAACAAAGTATGAAACATAAATGCAGAAAAATAAACAGCCAGATATTTCAAAATGCAGCCATCTCCCTCTGCAAATCCTTTCTTCCCAACTATCCTTTAACATCTGGGGTTGTAGGTAAAGGCAACGGTGGGGGCTGCTTTTCTTCATCAGCCCACCTTGCTTGGCTTGGTGCCAAATTCCAGAACCAGTTCCTGAGGACTGCAGGGGAGCGTGGGCTGGGGGAGATGGACAAGACAAGAAACGGGAGAGGGCCCCTTTTCTTTTTCTGCCTTGGGCCAACTCTGCTATCCTCATCTACCTCTAGATGGAAGGTGAGGAAAAGGAAAAAAAGAGATTTAAAAAAGGAGTATTTATTGATTGCCTACTCTATGCTTGGATCTGTGGTAAACATATTGTACTTTCTTTTATTTCAGTGGTAAGGACAGTTAGCTCTTCTTTTTAGCCTCTTATGGTTTATTCCCATTTAAGCTGGATCCCCCAGTCTCAAGGTCTAGCAGAACTGCTTGCCATTCATTTGTGCATGGATTTTTCAAGCTGGTAGGAAGCCACTTTTCTAAAACTTCCACAGGGCTGAATATACCACCAGAGTCCCAAATGACCCTAAAGATACTGTCTTTTCACTTACTACTGCCTTCCTTCTACTTACTCACCTATTTTCAGATCATTTCTATATAGGTAAGAAAGTGGCTAGGGGCAGGATACATCTGAATTTATTTTATAATAAATAAATAGAATGAACATACTGTAGAATAACAGTAATCTTTCCAAGACATCTGCTTCCCCTTCTTTTTAACATTCAGTTCAAATCATGAGAAAATACATTATCTAAACTAATTTTAAGTAGAGTTTTTGTGGTCTTATTTGGAATTTAAACATTTCCTGTTATAGGTGTCAAATAGAAAATCTTGTTCTCTAACCACCTACTCCATCCTTTTAACTATTCATTCTTTTAACTATGAAACAAAATACATAGATGACATCTCTCTACCAGTACCTGAATGATGCCAATATTCTAAACAGATTAGCAGAAAGACACAGATTATAGAAAGTGGGAGGAAAAAGTGGCTTCATGGAATGTGATATGTCTCACCAGGTGCAAAAATATGTTTCATTCGGATTTATTTGGAAATTTAATTTGTCTTTCAACAAGCAATCAAAGTGCTCATCTCTAAATAAGAGGTAAAAAGACTATAAAGGGTCCTAGTGAGTTTGTAATTGCAAAGGGAAAAGCACACGTTAACTCGGTTTCTTTGGGAAAGGGTCACACTCATCAAACAAAGACTGGTTGATGTCAAGTCTCTACCAGCAGAGGAAATTTTCGGGGTTGAATCTACTGCCTCAGCAGAAAATCCAATTTTAAGAAAACTTACACATGCACAACCCTTGCCACCACACGTGTGCCTTAATACAAGTGAGGTGGCAGAATTTTAAGAGAGGTGATCATTTTAACAGCTGGTAGTATCTCTTTCTGTTTCCTCTCTGGACAAAAGCTATGTCGCTATTTCAAAACAATGTATGAACAAAAAATTTAAGTCATAAATATTTAAATGATGGCAATGGCCAATCTTAGATGATAAAGGTCCAAGGTTAATCTAGCAAATCTTGAGTACCTCTAATTCCCTGGAGAACTTCTTTAACACAAAATTTTTAAAGCCTGTCGACAGACCAGTGTGAAACCAAACAGATTCACAGCCCACCTCTTCACGAACATTCGGTAAGATACTAAATCAAAGATGTTTGTTTCTGATCACCAAGTACAATTTCCCTCTTGGGAGTCTATTAGGCTGTTCTGAATTTGTAATTTCCTTGAAGCACCGTCACTTTTAATAGGTATGTGTCTAGCCAGAGAATGCTCACTTCTCTGACAGTGATAGAAAGCTCACTAATGAAGCAGTTTGGCCAGTTTCTTTCCCCAAGTCTGAAGAAAGGAAAAACTGCACTTAAAAGGCTGCATGTTCTACACAGTGTAGTTCACTAAATCATAAATTCAAGAATTGTCACTTTTTTTTTATATTTCTGAAAACTACAACTGATAAAGGGGCTTTACACATTGCTTTGCCCTTCTGTCTTTGGTTACCTGTCAGGATGAATGGAAGAGAGCACAAAGACAAGGAGAATGACGTCCAGTATCCCATCTGGGAAAGGGTAAGGTAAGCCCTCATCACAGATGTCATGAACAAAGGCACAACACTGGGCTGCTCTGTAGGACGAGTGCAACTATCATGATAAAGGAATAAAAAGGGGGGGAAAAAGCAGTTAGCAGACTTCTAGCATTTTTCTTAAAATAAAAAGGTCAAACTTTATATTTCTCCTAGTGCCTTTTTCCTCTGTAAATCTGGATGCACTTTATTTCAGATTCAGTATTCTGTAAGCTTATTTCAAGCTGCCACAAAAAATTAAGTCTTGTGCTTGGACTCATAGCATTCTTCACAATCCCTCTTTAGTTTAGAAAGAGGAATGGGGGCCACCTGGGTGCCTCAGTTGGCTAAGTGTTTGCCTTAGGCTTGGGTCATGATCCCAGGGTCCTGGGATTGAGCCCCGCATTGGGCTCCCTGCTAGTGGAGAGTGTGCTTCTCCCTTTCCCTCTGCCTGGTACTCCTCCTGCTTGTGCTTTCTCTCTCTGTGTGTCAAATAAATAAAATCTTAAAAAAAAAAAAAGGTCCAGAAACTTAAAAAAATAAAAGATAAAAAGAGGAATAGGGCAGGCCTTTGAGTCAGTAGGCAACATTGTTGAAAGACTACCATATATTATTTCAGAGGCACTGAGATGGTCCTCAGCTCTCTCTCCTACTGCTTGTTCCATGCCTCCTTTGGCTTAAAATACAAATACCCTCTACTACATAATCAAAAATTAGATAATGGTAATGATAGCACAACTTCGTACATATACTAAAATCAGTGAATTGTATAAAGTGGTGAATTCCATGGTGTGTGAACTGTATCTCAATAAAGGCTGTTATTTAAAAAAATTAGAACATACATACACACAAATTTGCCCATAAAACAATACCAGAAGGATATATACCAAAATACCTAACCTTGATTCACCATAGGACTCTAAGAAGTGTGATTATAGGTGAATTTTATCTCTCTGTTTAGGCTTTTCAGTATTTTAGAAAATGTCTACCATGATTAACTATTACTCAATATCAGAAATTAAGTTCCATGTACTGACTATACATTTCTGTTAGCAGAATTTCCATTCCTTTCCCATCTCCTAAAAATACTTTTTGCTAAGGTAATGCTTACTAGCTTTTGGGGATTGGTCAAACAAGTCCAGGCTCCCCACTGCTTTTCCAACAGTCTAGGACAGTTTACACTTGTATTATATGCCTTCTCAATTTTTTTTAATGTCATAATTTTTAATTTAATGAGTACCTCTTACATGTTAGACTGTGTACAGGGATCTAGGGACATAAATATGAATAAGATCATCTTGTAGGGGGTATCTGGGTAACTCATGGTGAAGCATCTGACTCTTGGTTTCAGTTCAGGTCATGACTTCCAGGTTCTCAGATCAAGCCCCATACTGAGATCAAGCCCTGTGTTGGGCTCCACATAAGGCATGGATCCTACTTAAAATTCTCTCCCCAGGGCACCTGGGTGGCTCAGTTGGTTGTGTGTGACTCTTAGTTTCAGCTCAAGTCATGGTCTTAGGGCTGATGAGACCCACGTTGGGAATTCACGCTCAGCAGGGAGTCTGCTTGAGATTCTCTCCCTCTCCCTCTGCCCCTCCTCCAGCTTGTGTGCATGTACTCCCTAATAAATAAATAAATAAATAAATAAGATTCTCTCTCTCTCTCTCTCTCCCCCCGCTCTTTAAAAAAAAAAAAGATCACCTTGTAGGACCTGTTGACCTTTCTGGGTGTACCAATGCCTTCAACTTTATTTTAAATACAAAACAACTTCTATCATTTTAAGGTGATACCTTAGGTATCAGCTGATGATATGATTCCCAGAAATAGTAAAAGCTCGGTTAAAAATGGTCACAGATAACATTTGAAATATTTCAAAAATATCACAGCAGCAGCAAATGAATTAGATCCTTACCTGGCTCTCCTTAAAGAAAATATGAAGCATACCTTTACTAGCTCCACAGCTCTGGAAGCAAAATCACAACAGTAAAGAAAGGATTCTGGAACATTCCTATGAAAATGAAACCAATATTTAAATCTAGAGTTAATCTATGCTCAGGTTACAGAAGAAAGGAAACTGTAGGCTTGAACTTGTTAAAAAGTATTTCTTTAATAGAATTTTGGATGACACTTGGATTGTTGTTTCTTCCTTTTAGACATTATTCTCTATAGTGGCATAAGGGTGCCTTCATGTTGCTTCTGAAATAGCATTGTCTCAAATGCTTACCATTAATTACAGGGTAACTTTCAAATTCCTGTCCTGCTTTTGAAGTTCTCCATTATGTAAGGCTACCTACCCTTACATCCCATCATACTCTCACATGGGAAACCTCCAAAGCTATCCATCATCACTGCTCCATCTTTCTCCTGCTCCCCCCATCTCCCCACACTCTTTCTTCTGTGCCTCCAGCCAGTAAGGCCTATAGCTCCTTCATAGCTTAGTCAAGTTCTACCCGTGTGCAAGGACTCTCAGACCCCTGTGTCCTTGGTGCTTCAGTCCCCTTTCTCTGTGTACAACTCATTTGGTTCTTGACCCTCTCAGAGAGGCTCTGATGCCCCTAATGGAACAGAAACATAAATATATATATATATATATGTAAACACAACTTCTAAACATTTATTAGCCTCATTTATGTACGAAACATTAGAATACAAGGTAGTAAATGAAATTGTCTAGTAAATAGTAAAAGTATATATTTTGGAGCCAAATAGACCTGTGTTTAAATCCTGAATTTTCCATTTATTAACTCTGTGAATTTGACTTAACTTCTTTAATACTCAGTTATTTTATTTATAAATTTAAAGTCAGTCATTTTTTGGCAGGGGATGTTTATACATATCAAAGTCTTGAATAGTTTTAAGTGGCCTCCACTGAACTTGTAGACAAGTTCTATTTGGCCTTTACCTAAAATTCAGTTACAATGTCTGGATCGTGGTTACTCATGGGCACACATATACTCTGAATTTTGTGGACCAGTACCCTTCCTGATCATCCCTAGTATGATGGTATCAAATAATCCTTGCATCATGTTACTTAATACCATGTATGAATCACAGAAAGAGATTAGTTTGTCATTAAACAATAATTTAACTCTGGTCCTGGCTCTTGTGGGTTTTATAGCCTAGCTGAGGACATGACTGGTTTTATATAGCTTTTATAGGGTTGTGGATCGGGCAGAGTTCCAAAGGTGTAAGTCTTCAGAATTTTGTAGAAGGGGAATAGCATTGCTGAGTGGGGAGAAGGGTAAATGGTATAAGGGCTTAGAGATGGGAGTCCTATGCCAGGGATAAGAAGCAGAGTTGATCCTGAGAGCTCAAGCCAGTATGTAGCAGGTTATATAAGTGGGCCTTAAAACACATAATTAGAACTTCTAATTTGGTTCAGGAGACATTTCAAGCAAGGAGAACTACTAAATAAATATGAAATACAAACACAAATATGTATTCTACAAATAAAATCCCACCCAGGTTCAGATTATACTCTTAAATGCTACCCATTGATGGATACTACATTCATGTATAATGCATTAATTCTGTGGCATTGGGGATTTACATTTAATTTAAGATTAGTTAAAATATGATGAATAGGATTTGGTTATGACTTGCGCTGCTTGCCTTTTTCATCCGTCCCATATAAAAAACAGTGCTTTACTCCAGCCGATACCCCTACTGTTTCCTATGAAATCCATATATTTGTGACCCCTAACTTCCTGGGTGGTCGGTCACATGTGTTTGAACTTTTCTCAGGAAGCACTCACATGCATATAGCCCTATGTAATATGATGGCTAAGGGCAAGGGCTCTGGAACCAAACTGCCTATGGTTTGAATCCTGGCTGTACCACTCAGTTGTATCATCTTGGAATAGTTACTTAATTTCTCTGTAACTCCATTTCCTCATCTATAAAGCAGAGATAAATATGGCACCTAAGGTCATTGTAAGGATTGGAGCAATTCATATAAGTTTCCAAAAAGGTGCCAAACTCAGAGTAAGCACCTGCTAAATGTTAGTCATTGTTATAACTGTTGTTGCTATTGCTATTATTTTTATTATAACCATCATATTATTATTATAGGAAGACCTGCCTCTGCCTTCTAGGAACTTAAAAACTTAAGAACTTATCACAGTTCTGTAAAAACTTCCATATAACTCAAAATGCTTCTCTGGACACTAGCACATCTAGCTCCTTATAAAAGGTATGCAGTCAACCTTTGGGCACTGGTTGCTAAACACCCACAAGATACAGAATAGTCTAGTAGCTAAAGGAAAGCATGTGCCATTTGCCATGTGTCCTACCAGGACAGCAGCATGACCTCTGAGACTGAATTCCCAGTGCAATAGCAGCCCAAGCTGAGGTCTTATGACCACCCAATGACTTTCCAGAGCTTTTCTGTAAAATCAGCTGACTGCCTTGGCCCTGCTCCCAGGAAGCAGGTGTAAATATCACTACTACCACCACACCACTCTCTTGGCAGGGGGGTTTAAGCATTAAATGATCCTTGGAGAATGATATGACCTCTCAATTCCAGAGGTCTAATGATGGTAAAGTATTCAGAAAATGTAAAATATTAATCCTATAGTCTCCAAAAGTAATAAAACATAATTTTTTAGGTGGGGAAAAAAGTCTAATTCTCCCTTTGGAAGCCGAAAAAAAAAAATCACTGATTGCCTTTTAAAAATTAATTAATTATCTTAGGTTATCAAGCTACAATGATTAAAACAAAACAGCCAAGAAGTATCAGGGAGTGAGGAAAAAAGTGCTTGCAATCATTCATTGGAGGGAGAAGAGGGAAAAATAGAACAACTAGGAATTCAGAGATATTATCCAATATGTATTGAGCTCTAACTACCTGTATTGCACTGTTAGGTTACCTGGAAAATCAGATTAGGATAAAATATATTTTCTACTTCAAGGAATATATGCAGTGGTTGGAGAGACAAGACTTAAAGAAATGGTATGCTAAATAATACCTTGAGATGAGTCATAAAGCAATTCATTATCAATTGCCAAAGTAGTAAATTTATCTGTATTGTAAGGTCAGAAGTTACTGGGGTGAAGGAAACTGAGTATGTGGTATAAAACAGCAGGAAATATTGGTCCAGAAATGGGGAAAAGGGAAAACAAAGAAAATAAGTATGAAAAGAGAAAGGTCATTCAGAACTGCAAATTTGCCACTATCACTTCTGCCTGGCCACTTTAACTGGTAATCTAATGGTATTAGGAAATTACTATTTATTATGTTAGGTTTAGAATAGTAATGAAGAATGTACTGATTTTTTTTTTTGGAGATACACCACAAGTATTTAAAAATAAAGTGTCATGATGTTGGCATTGTGTTAACTGTTAAATCAAGGTGGTGGGTTTGTGAAAATTCACTGTTATTACTCTTTACTTTTCTGAATGCTTTCACATTTTCATAAGGAAAAGCTAAAAAAAACCATCATTAAAATTTAAAATACACATAGAGAAAAGACTGAAAGGAATTATAACAAAAATGCTGACAGCAGCTATGTTAGGGTGATGGGGATGATGGGTGATTCCCACCCTCCTCTCCTTTAATGGAAATGTTCTGCAATGTGCTCATGTCAATTTTATAATGGAAAAATAATGTGAAAGCTACTGTGTAAACTTAAAAAAAGAAAAAAGACCAGCCCCAGGTACAAGTGCTAGAAAAATCTTTGTGAGGAGTGTTGTCTTCATCATGGAAATACTACAACACATATGTGAGGCGGTGAACAGGAAGGACGCATTAGGAGAACACCTCTGTCCCTATTATCTACACCTGCTTTTTTTGTCTTAGGGTTAGTTGCTGTTACCTCTAAACAATTCCAAGTCTAGAGACAACCACTGGACAAAGGGAAGTCTTAATACTGGGTGTGGCTCCAGAAGTGATGACAAAATAAAATGAGGTTAAAGTATAATCTTTAAATTCAATTCTCTCTGTGGGAAATGGCTCCTACAGACCTGGAGGAGCAAATGGAATTCTGAAGTTTAGCAATTCACAGCTTAGTGGAACGGTCAAATCTCTGGTTCTTTTCTTATTCTCTCATCCACACACACACACACAAGCTTAAAAAATTACTTCAACCCACAGCTGTGAAACACTCTTTTCAGAGTAATTCCTAATTCACACAAAATTTGACACTAGGACTAAGACAATGCTTTTGAAAGTTGTTTAAGCCATTGTTTATATGTGAACAAGAATACTACTGGCATATAGATGACATTTTTCCAGAATTTCTTAACGCCCCATACATATGTAAAATTTTGCAAGAGAAAACTTTAAGACTCACTGTAAAGTGTTCAAAATTGGAAAAACACTATTTCCAGCTCCACAGCCAACCTAAAAAAATCAAAAGAATAAACAAATATCATGAAAACAAGGTTAAATTTTCCTCACCAATGTTAGATTTTTTTTTTTTTTTTTTTTTTAACTAGAAAGAAATGTACCGGATGTCTAGGTGTTGAAGGGTCTTTCTTTCTTTCTGTTTTTTAAAAGATTTTATTTATTTATTGGACAGAGAGAGAGAGAGAGAGAGCGCACACAAGCAGGGGGAGGGGCAAAGGGAGAGGGAGAAGTAGACTCCTTGCTGGGCAGGGAGCCCATGGGATCATGACCGGACCAGAAAGAGATACTTAACTGACTGAGCCACCAAGGTGCCCCAGAGGAATCGGAGGGTTTTCTAAACTGGAAAGCAATCGAATAAGTCACAAGAATAATGCTGACAAATTTAACTATGGAAATATTTAAAATTTTTACACACCAAAACTCAAACCAAATTAAAAGGTTACCAACACACTGTAAAAAAAATTGGTGGGGCGCCTGGGTGGCTCAGTGGGTTAAGCCTCTGCCTTTGGCTTAGGTCATAATCTCAGGGTCCTGGGATGGAGTCCCGCATTGGGCTCTCTGCTCCTTGTAGGGAGACTGCTTCCCCACCCCCTGCCCCCGGCCTGCCTCTCTGCCTACTTGTGTTCTCTCTTTCTCTGTCAAATAAATAAATAAAATCTTTTTTAAAAATTGGCAATAAATACAGTAAAAAGATAGTATTCATTAAGAAAAATAACATAAATAAGCAAAGGAAATAAACAGAACACAAAAGAAGTGCAAATAGTTTCTAAACATTTGAAGAACGATGTGACCTAGTTAACAATCAAAGAAATGCAAATTAAAACATGGTATAATTTTCATCTGTCAAAGAGGAAATCACTTAAAATAAGAACACTTTTTAAAAAAGATTTTATTTATTTATTTGACACAGAGAGCAGGCAAGAGCAAGGGGAGGGGCAGAGGGAGAGTAGCACACTACCCACTGAGCAGGGAGCCCAATGCGGAACTTGATCCCAGAACCCCGGGATCATGACCTGATCTGAAGGCAGATGCTTAATCAACTGAGCCCCTAAAATAAGAATATTCTAACCAAGGAGGGTATGATGAAACAGACATACATTGCCATGAATTGGTATTAATACAACTTCCTAAAAAGTGATTTGGCAATATATACTAAGGGCATTAAAATTTTTTTTAACTTTTTTTAAAAAAGATTTTATTTGACAGAAAGAGACATAGCAGGAGGGGGGAACACAAGCAGGGGGTGTGGAGAGGGAGAAGCAAGATTCTCGCTGAGCAGGAAGCCTGAATGCGGGGCTCCTTCCCAGGACCCTGGGATCATGACCTGAGCAGAACGCAGATGCTTAACGACTGAGCCACCGAGGCGCCCCAAGGGCATTAAATTTTTAAAATAAATTATGAGCTAGTAAATCTGACCCAAGATAATAAAAGAAAATGGAGAAAAGTCTATACCCAAAGATATTTTCTGTAGAAAATCTGAAAACAATTTAAATGTCTAGTATTGTGAAAACAGATAAGCAGAATTAAAGTACTTTCCATAGGAAAATATTTTGCAGCCACGAAAATATTTATAGAGAATTTTTAAGATAGAAAAACTGCTTATGTTGCTTATGTTATAATGTTAAATAAAAACAAAGCAAAACCCCAAAATACAGGTACAGTATAGCTCAACTGTATAAAACTGTATAAACAAAAGGAGAAAAGTTAGTAAAATGTTAAGCGTGGTTAACTCCCTTGTATGTGGGATAGTAGATACTTTTATCTACTCTTTTGCAAACTCTCTAATCAATATATATTACCTTTATAACAGAAGGAAGAGATTTATTTTTAAAAATAGAAAGTCAATATCTATACTGGATTACAGTTAATTATATATCTCATTATTTCTAGTTCACTTAAAAAGGGTTAATAACAGGAAGAAATAGAAATTAAGGCCAAAACTTAATTGGAATTTATTTATTTATTTATTTTTAAGATTTTATTTATTTATTTGACAGAGGGAGATCACAAGTAGACAGAGAGGCAGGCAGAGAGAGAGACAGAGAGAGAGGGAAGCAGGTTCCCTGCTGAGCAGAGAGCCCGATGCAGGACTCGATCCCAGGACCCTGAGATCATGACCTGAGCCGAAGGCAGCGGCTTAACCCACTGAGCCACCCAGGCGCCCCTTAATTGGAATTTAAAACTGCCTTCAAGTTAGAAATGAAAACAAATTAAAAAAAAAATTAAAACCCAAACTTAGAACTTGATGATAGACAAGAGTCCTTTAAATATTCTTTATGCACAGAAGTATACTGAACACTTATTTAGTTAGATTTGATAATTTCCCCCTAAAAAAATCTGGATTATTAATAAAGTCATATGGAATGTACATTTCAAAGCTATTTGCCACCTCCCATCTTTGCCCCGGCCAGACAGTACCTCTAGGATTCTGAAAGTGGCGTTGCTACCAGGAAACAATTCTGTCTTCAGAGGTCCTTTTCTGTTTTCTTTAGATTCTAGGTTGGAAAAATGTGATCCCACTTTGCTTTGACTACGTGATGAACCACAACTTTTCTTATGATTGTTTTCTTCAGGCATAGTAGGGCAGTGCCTTCTTGAGAAACCATCTGCAGCACTAGTTTTTGCATGATCCCATGATAATTCCTGCAACTTCTGTTCAGTTTTTTGATCAACCGGAATAATTTCAGGAAATTCCCTCAACAGCCAATTACGATCCTTGAAAAACTTATTCTTATGAATCTTATAAAATGTGTTCCAATATTTACTAGCTTCATTCTCATACTTAACTAAAAGAAAAAAAAGGAAAAAAAGATTTTACTATGAATTATGTTTACTATTACTATTTTAATAACTAAATATATTTAATAAATATTGTTAAATATATTACAGACATTATGATTTATATTTACTATTGAGTAATTTTAATATTACAGTTTTTATCTGATTTTTTTTTTTGGCCTCTTACAAGTTAACACTATAGAGTATTGATTCTCCCAAAATGTGTCAGTGTGTGGGGTATTAATTTCTATCCCCATAAATCTGCTTCTGCTTCAAGAGTTTGGCCAATAAATTTTTGTGAGGAATATAATCATTGCAAACTACTTTCTACAGTCTGAATCTTGGATTCCTAATAATCACATTTTCATCAATAACCTGTAGGGCTCTGTATCATCTTAAAGGAAGGACCCCTCATTTTTTTTCTCTATAAATGCAGTTTCAACACAAGTGTCTTGTAATTGGTAATAAGTCAGGAAACTGCAGAATTATAAATGACATAATCTTAGAGCCAGAACAACCCACTGAAATAATCTACTCCAACTCCCTATTTTGCATTTGAAACTCCTGGAATCTAGGGGCCTCCCATTCTTCCTCCACCTTCAGAGGAATCTTCCTATTGACATCTCCTAGTATGAAGCCTTAGGAGATATGCCTTTTTAAAAGAAATTAGTGGTTTTTTATTTTTTTTAGAGGTTTTATTTATTTATTTGAGAGAGAGAGAGATAAAGAAAGAGCATGAGCAGGGGGAGAGGCAGAGGGAGAGGAAAAGGGAGATGGAGATGCAGACTCCCTGCTGAGCTGGAAGCCCAACATGGAGCTTGATCCCAATGACCTGAACAGAAGGCTCAACCATCTGAGCCACCAAGGTGCCCCAAGAAATTCACATTTTATGATGTTAATCCTTATAGTTCCCTCTGTCCCAGGGTCAGGTTAGGTCAACGGTCTCAGAACTTCAGACAATTCTTAGCTTTCTGCCTCTTTTTCTTTGTACCTTAAATTAATAAAATAATAAATTCACTTACTCCTTCATCCCTTCACTCAACAAACATTTCTTGAATGCTACTATGGACCAGGTCTGATCCCTGGGTTAAGAATTACTCTCACCCACTAGGGGCGCCTGGGTGGCTCAGTTGGTTGAGCGGCTGCCTTCAGCTCAGGTCATGATTCCAGGGTCCTGGAATGAGTTGGGCTCCCTGCTTATCCCTGCTTAGTGGAGAGCCTGCTTCTCTCTCTCCCTCTGCCTGCTGCTCTGCTTCCTTGTGCTCTCTATCTCTCTGTCAAATAAATAAATAAAATCTTTAAAAAAAAAAAAAAAGTCACTCAGCATCAGGGAAATACAAATCAAAACCACAATGAGATACCACCTCACACCAGTCAGCATGGCTAAAATTAACAAGTCAGGGAATGACAGATGCTGGCAAGGATGCGGAGAAAGGGGAACCCTCCTACACTGTGGGAATGCAAGCTGGTGCAACCACTCTGGAAAACAGCAAGGAGGTTCCTCAAAGAGTTGAAAATAGAGCTACCCTATGACCCAGCAATCGCACTACTGGGTATTTACCCTAAAGATACAAATGTAGTGATCTGAAGGGGCACGTGCACCCGAATGTTTATAGCAGCAATGTCCACAAAAGCCAAATTGTGGAAAGAACCTAGAGGTCCCTCAACAGATGAATGGGTAAAGAAGATGTTGTATATATATACAATGGAATACTATGCAGCCATCAAAAGAAATGAAATCTTGCCATTTGCGATGACAGGGATGGAACTAGAATTATGTAGTTCCATCCCTGTCATCTAGCATAATACTACTGTCATCCAGTAGTATTATGCTGAGCGAAATAAGTCAATCAGAGAAAGACAATTATCACATGATCTCCCTGATATGAGGAAGTTGAGAGGCAAAGTGAGGGGTTTGGGGGGGTAGGGCAGGAAAAAAATGAAACCAGATGGGATCAGGAGGGAGACAAACCATAAGTGACTCTTAATCTGAGGAAACAAACTGAGGGTTGCTTGGGGGATAAGAAGAGGATGGTTGGGTTATGGACATTGGGGAGGTTATGTGCTACGGTGAGTGCTGTGAAGTGTGTAAGCCTGATGATTCACAGACCTGTACTCCTGGGGCTAATATGTTATATGTTAATAAAAAATAAAAAATTAAAAAAAATATAAAGACATGGAAGATCAAAAAGAAAAAAAAAATGAGGATGCCAACAGTAGGGTAAGCTGTGGCAGTGCTGGCCAATGGACCCAAGAGGTCTAAGTAAGTGGCCAGCTGGAGCCAGGCAATTCAAGTGGGAGATACCACATTTCAGATAAATGGGCATCCATCCTATATTGCAGGCATCTAAGGAGCAAGGACCAAGTCTTATTCACTCCAGTACTGTCAGTGTCCAGCACACTTTCTGGCACACACTCCATGCTTAATAAATGTTTGAACAGAACTGAACATAAGCAAAAGAAACAGCATTTACCTACTAAATTTTTTTAAAAACCTTAATTCTTGGGGTGACTGAGTGACTCACTTAGTTGAGCATTCAACTCTTAGTTTTGGCTCAGGTCATAATCTCAGGATCATGAGATTGAATCCGGCATTGGGCTCTGTACTCAGTGAGGAGTCTGCTTGAAATTCTCTCCCTCTCTGCCTCTCCCCACTCATCTGCACGCATGCTCTCTCTCCCTAAAATTAGATAATAAATCTTAAAAAATTTTTAAAAACCCTCAACTCTTCATAGTTAGGAAGTTTCTTACGGCTAATTTAAATTATACTATACTGCCGGAGGAGTCTATTCTGCCCCTCCCTTCAAAAGAGACAAAGACTTGATCACCATCTTTTGTAAAATAAAATAAAATAAAATAATCTATTAGTGATAGATTAAATAATTACCACTTATTAAGCATCAATCATCTCCAGGCACCAGCCTTACATTCAATGTGCTTTGTCTTTTGTCCTTGCAACAATCTTTAGGTAAGCAATATCATCTCCAATTTATAGTTGAGGACACTGAGGCTCAGAGATGTTAAGTATTTTGCTTAAGTTTACACAACCAGCAGCAGCAAAACAAGGCTTTATATCCAGTGGGTCCCCTGTTTCTTCTCTGAGGACCCTTTCTGCCTGTTTCTACCTGGGAGCAATCATTCCCATCTTCTAGTGTGCTCTTCTTCTACGGTAATTAACACATGTTCTTCAGCTTCTAATCATGGCCCTTACAAACAAACTATTAATAATCTTTTATTTATCTCTGGCCTTTCCCCAAGTTCTCCACGTTCTTTGAGTTTGGCGTCAACTCAGTCCTTAAAATACCATTCAATGGGGGAAAAAAATCACAAGTTTTGACTTTAGTAAAAGAATAGAATCATCTCCCTTCCCATTTTAAATCAGCCTAGAAACTATTAAGCACATTCACAAAAAAATCATTTTTAAAAAAGTGAAAAAGTAAAGGAATAATAACCACCAGGAATCCTGGTGAAAGCCGGGTGTCACAAGGTAGTTTTGTGTGCTTCCCACAGCTAACTGCATGAAAAGGTACCAGGAACAGGACAGAGCACACCTGGACTAACCATTTTCCAGGTGCGAACACCTGCACCTGGCAGCGGATGCCTCATGGTGAAGAAAGACCATAGGGTTCAGGAGGTGAAGCCAACCAAATACTGTGATGAGTTTTAGTCTCCCTATGGTCTAGAGTCGGGTAGCTCAAAGTGGGGGCTGTGGGCAAGCACTGGTCCATTTCATTCCTAGCCTGTGACATGCTAAGTAGAGTAACAAAATACTTTTTCATCTCTCAAATCTAATAAAAATCTTGGGCTTATATATTGCCCATCTTTATTTTTTCTGCTCATCCCTTCATTTCCAAACACTAGAGCAGGGCCTGACATGTAGCTGGTATGTACTGGGTGCCTGGGAGATCATAAGAGAATGTTGGAGAGAGGGCAGAGACCAGGAAACACCAAATGCCAGCAAATGGAGGACATCTTTTTTTTTTTTTTCCTAGTAATTCATCTTTATAAAGCATTGGTCTATGACAGGTTGCAAATACGCAGAACAAAACAAAAAGCAAGAACTGGTCCTTTACCTCAGGTAGTTAGAGAAGTGCTGGTCTAGCAAGTAAATGTAGAAATGGTGCTTGGCAGAGTTGCTAGAACTCCTGGCTATTTATTTAGCGTCTAGTAAAGATTTAGGTGTGGTAATGTTCCCAGAATAAGTCACCAGTAATACCTTCGGACACTCACTTTTAGTTCCCCATATTCCAACCATCTACGTGTATCAGCGCATTCCCTGAAGATTCCATCCATCCCTGAGGCAGATGCTTATGACCCCAGGCTTACAGGGAAATGCTGAAGAACTACTGATGGGCTCTCTCTCTAAGCAGACTAATGAGCGAGTCACAAAGGGCATAGGAGAGTCCACTGCACATTGCTCTAGCCCGCGTAAACGAGACGTAGGTTTCCTCAACTCTTAAAAAAGGTTCAGGTAATGTCCCCTCCTGTTGTTTCTTGCCATGTGAAGGGAGCCACCTGATTTCTTCATTCCTGGGAGAAGCGCCTTATAGAAGTGAGTTTGGGAAATGAATTAGACATGTTTAACCTAGTCCTTCTTCACTCTTGGAAACTAGCTACTCTGTACAAAGCTACACAGGGGCAGACCCCTGGGAGCAGAGTCCTGTGGCTGTTCAGCTGTGGGTGTTGATTCCTGGATTCAGTCGTAGGAAGGGAATTGTTCCCATGTACCCTGAGCCAATTTCTCCAGTATCAGCTTCTCTCAGTTGGTTTATAGTCTGGGCAGGAATACAAAGGTATTATTTGGAAGGCTTCTCTCAAACCTCACCAAATGGCAGTGATTATACATACATTAAAGGCTTGTCTCATAGGCTTTGCTGGCCTATATTCTTCACTTGCCTTCCTTTAGCCTTCTCGCAGAGGAGGGCAGATCCTGAATCACTCATGTGGTGACTATGCTGTATTGATACCTATTCTGTACCTTCCGCCGAGTAGAAGCCAGACCTTTCTTTGCCACACTGGTGGGTGACGGCAGTCTCCTGGCTCAGTCAATGCCCCTTTCTTTCTTTCTTTTTTTTTTTTTTTTAAGATTTTATTTATTTATTTGTCAGAGAGAATGAGCACAGGCAGAGGCAGAGGGAGAAGCAGGCTCCCCGCCGAGCAAGGAGCCCAATGCGGGACTCGATCCCAGGATGCCGGGATCCTGACCTGAGCCGAAGGCAGCTGCTCAACCAACTGAGCCACCCAGGCACCCCTCAATGCCCCTTTCTGCCTGTACTTTTCTGGGTGTGTTTCTCCTAAAGTTGTGGTTCATCTTTCCAGGTTTTTGAAGATCAATAAGCACATACTTTGTGACACATCACTATGGAAAACACAAGGGCTCTAAAATAAAAAGGAAGAATCAGATAAAAGTGAGTCTTTGCTCCTCTACAAAGTATCAAGAACAGAATGTCTTACCAGGCATTTTTACAGTTCACTTTGGGTAAACAGAGAAACGCTCATGGCTTCTGCAGCCTTCCCATTTCCAAGACCCAGTAAGGACTCTTTCTTTGGCTCTTCCTGAGTTAGGCCAGGGAGCATTAAAACTTACAGTCTATTTCTCTGAGATTCAGTTACAAGTCACTTTTGCTACAATTCTCTCTGACCTTGCATTTTTCTTTGGGTTACTGGAGTAGTTTTTGGCTAATCGCCTGTGAACACTGCCTACCTTTTCTAAGCCAGAATGTGGCTTGCTTCTTCTGGTAGCCCTTCCTCGTGATGACTGACTATGCCTGGCTGAGCTGGAGGAATGAATGACCCTAAATGCTTTGTCACCATATTGACAGCATTATGTCTCCTCAACTAGACCTTGTCTATGCCAATAGCTTTGTCTGTATTTTCCCCACCCCCCAAATATGGAATTATATTTGTAATATTACTTTATGTTACAGATTAAGTCCCTAAAGAAAGACAGTACCCACCCCCTTAATGTAGTTAAGATCTTCGTCAGTGTTTTCCATTCAACTTTGCTAGTTCAGGAGCACCTGGGTGGCTAAATCTGTTAAGCGTCTGCTTTTGGCTAAGGTCATGATCCAGGGGTCCTGGGATCAAGCACCACTTTGTATCTGGTAGCATGGCTTTGGGCTCCCTGCTCAGAGGGGTGTCTGCTTCTCCTTCTCCCTCTGCACCCCCCAATTCTAGCTCTTCTCTTGTTCACTCTCTCAAATAAATGAATAAAAATCTTAAGAAAAAAAAAAAAAAAGAACAAACTTTGCTAGTCCAAACATACATTTTAATGTAAAAATGCATGAATATAGAGAAGTATAGGCTTCTGGTTTAGAAAGCCTGCCTCTTTGGAAAGTTACTGACCTCATAAGAAACTATGGACAAACTCCCCAAGGTGGGATGAACAGAAAGTAACTTATACTCACATACAAACATAATTAAGTATAGATACAGTTGCATAACTAAAATGAAATTTAATGTAGATGTGTCAAAGAGAAGAAAGCACAAAAAATTTATAGAACTTATATGAAGTAGGGATGCTCAGTCTGTTAAACGACTGCCTTTTGCTCAGGTCATGATCCCAGGATCCTGGGATCAAGCCCCGCATCAGGGTCCTTGCTCAGCGGGGAGCCTGCTTCTCCCTCTGCCTGTCTCTCCCCCTGTTTGTACACTCTCTCTCTCTGACAAATAAATAAAAATCTTAAAAAAACAAAACAAAACAAACAGAAACAAAACTTACATGAAGTAAGAAAATGTTGAACGGGGTAATAACCAAAACTTCATTAACTTAGCAGTCTTGGGGTCCCAGAAAGTGAGGTAGCACCGGCCAGATTCCTTTGGTGTTGCATGTCCTTCTAGATGAGGCCGGGCAAGTGACAGTGGATTTGGAGCTGGGGCCAGCCCACCCCATGTTGCACAGCACACTGCACTGCAGATAGAACCCAGCAAACAGGGAATCCATTATAGTTGAGAGTTGCCCTGTGCAGATAACCAGCTTCTGCCAGCACTTGGAGGAGAGACGACCCTATTAAAATACCTTTTAAAAAGCTAAAGCTAAATGACTGAACATTAAAACTTTGAGGAATGGGGGGGGGGGAAATACTATGAGGAAACGTCAGCTTGCTTATCCAGGGAATGAGCAGAACTTAATTCTCATTCCAGCATGGGGCTGTTGGGCACCCAGCTCTTTCCACCCTGGATAGAAAACAAATCCCCAAGTTGCTACTGAGCCAAACTTTAAAGGCCAGTCAGGAAATGAGCAGCACTCCCGCATAGGAAAGACTGGATCAATGTTTTTTCTAAGTAAACAAAAGATCTGCAAAAGTGTTTCCTTGCACTATTTGGCAAGAGAAAGAAGCACCTGGAGAGAGAGTTAGGATGAGAAACCGTATAAGAAATGGGAGTAAAACAAGGATGGTTATAATGAAGCTTTGTCTCGCTAATCTCCAGGGCCCAAGTGTTCTATTAGGAAACAAAGCTGCAAATGAAGAGACAATCAGGAAGACTGTTAAGACTACATTCATGGAAAGGATAAATAGAATAAATACTTTTCTGGATCCTGAATCTCATCTTTCATTTGGATTTTTAAAAAACTTTAAAAATACCTTCTAGAGAGTCAAAGTGGAATATATACATTAAAATAAATGAGGGCTGTGGAGGAAGAAGTATGAGCAATGAGAAAAGCAATTATCCTTGGAGACAGAAATTTCTTTGCTTCAATGCAGCCTGTGATGCAGGCAATTTCAGCCATTCTCTTTCAGGTTGATTTTCCGTGCGAGTTCCAAATGCTGCTTGAGGGGACGTGGTCTCAGTTCACCTGGGGGACTGGGGCATAACTAAAGATGTATGGAGAGCTATCAGATTCTTTAAGGCAAACATTCTGTTTCAGTAGGACAGCCTCAGGAGGAAGTCACCCTTGGGAGACAGGTAAGAGAAATGAGGCAGCAACTGCATAGTGTTGTCTGTGTTAAATACATAAATTTAAACCACCTCCCAAAACCAATGCAAAGGACTCACCGCATCTCCTCGTTAATTTTATGAAGTCACAGAGTTTTAGCTCTTTTTCCCAATGAAAAAGGCTTAAAGACTTGAAGGGTTAGAGCCATTCCTCAATAATTTGGAAACAACCAATAATCAATACATAAAGATTAACTGAGAAAGAAAATTCATTTCTGCTTTTTCTGCAATGAGCCTAGGGAGTGTCACATAAAGGAGCAATAGATTGAGAAAACTGCCAAAGAATTTGTATAAGCAGAACAAAACTCATAGTTTCCCCGGACCAAACCCAACAGCCCAAGCAGGAGAGATGATGCTTGGGGGCTTTTTAGGAGGCGATCGATGGCTCACTTGATTTGGTAGGCAACATTTGATAGAAAAGCATATATTTTCTGGAGCCCAGCCTCTACTTAGTGCCTACCTGCTGGAGAAAATCAAAGATAAAGATGCAAATCCCTGGGAAGCCAGGGACACAGCTAACTGGACGCCATTTGTGACTATTTGAAGTCCATGAGTTCCTCAAGTATTGATCTTTTTTTCTCCTTATGAAATGTTAACGTGTGTTCTTATTCATTCACCTGCCTCTGGCTGTTCCTTACTAAAGGTTAAGTGGTTGTGAAACCACATGCACTACAGAATCCAAAGCAGCTGTTTGAAACTCTTGAACAAGGAGTAGTGCCTTGTAGCTCCTGGGGCAGCTGAGGGTGGGCTCTCTCTGACCATCTGTAGGTTTTAATGTGCTCCGTCCATCTCGTGCCAGCGTGGCTTGCCAGAGTTGGAGTCACTGTGCTTGGAGACACTGCAGGAGGGGGTCAAGGCGGGGGCGGGGGGGCGTGCTCTGCAGCCTCCTGGGCCTCTCCAGCAGGTGCACTTGCCTTTTCATTCTAAGGCTGTTTTTCTTACCCTCCGCAAGCACTCATACACAGAACTGTTATTACTTGTTACTGCATGTTGCTGATTCATACTCAGAGGAAAAAGTAATTTTGTCTTCAACACCTCTTCCCTGTCATGTAAGGCATATGTTAATGAAAGACAGATTTTGGCATCCACTCTCCTCTGTAGCTTTGAAGCCACAATATAAGATTCATTATAAATGAAGATGCAACTGTTATTTTACTTCTATTTATATTTATAACAACACCAAAGCCATCTTGCAGGTACCTTTGCGCCTCTTGAATCCCAAACCATATTCCAAGAAATGCTCAACATTTTATGCTTGAATTGGCATTAATGTGGCATTAACGTACATACAATGTTTTAAAATAAAGATGTTTTCACTCATATTTTGTTACTGACAATCCCTGAATTCACATCTTTTAGATTATACTAAAGCTGAATCCCTTGGAAGACATTTTAAGGCTTTTTCAGACTGCCTTTTTTTCCCCCTCTCTGTAAGTGAGGAGTATGCAGGCGATGGGTGCTCGGCTTGCTGGCTCGGCTCGGAGGGGAGCCAAGTGGAAGCCAGAAGGGGGTGGGGCAGGAGCAGAAGTAAACATATGCAGAATGCTGAAAAGAACTGATTGAAAGCTTTTGCTTTGTCATTCCTCTTAGTTCCTTTCCTTCTTTTCCTTCCCATTTTGTAACTGTGGACCAGTGCAATGCACTTATTTCATAGAATCACCGGCTCTGGAATGAGCTGTCACCTTGTAGATTGTCTCATCCAGACTCCTACCCATTGCTATAATTCTCCACTTGATTCAGGAGCTCCTTTTCTTCTCCAGCAGCTTTCCCAGCAGCATGTGAGCTATCGATTAAAAGTGTGCTGATGAGACTAGAGTTTTTGGAATCAGACAGTTCTGGGTCCAAACCGTGGCTCTGCCACGGATTGGCAGTGACATCTGGGCAAGTCTCAGAGCCCCAGTGTTATCTGTTAGATGGTCAGGACAGAAATGAATTCATAGGCGTCTGAAGATGAAATGAAGTAATAATGTAATATATAAAAATATAGTATATAGAAGACTCAGCACTGGTTGCTAAATTAAGAGTAGTTAAGTGGTTCAAAAGGAACCAAGACCCATACTTTCTGTTTGACTCTGAGGCAATTCTTTTACACCGCATCTTACTGTCTTTCTCACAAGGTCTCATAAAGCCACTGAAAGTTTCTGTTGCTGGAATACTCTCCATATGTGGCCTTGCAGACTGTAAATGCTGTTATTAAGAACAATACCTCCCATATATTCAGTGCTTTAGAATTTACAACGCACTTTCACAAGTGCAGGGTGGGGAGGTGGGGAGGGGAGGCAGGGGAGTACCCACACCAGCTCGATGTCTACTGGTGACTAACAGAGGCCGGAAGCAGGAGCTGCGGAGGCTCTGAAAGAGGTCTATTAGTGATGCAAATGTGAAGTTATCTGCACTTGTGAGGAGCATAATAAACATTAAAACCAATTAGAAGTAACAACGAGTGATATATTCAGGCTTCAGAACTTGGCTTTGAGGAGTTGGCAAACCGTAGGAATACAGCACGGGAGTTTGGGGGCAAGAAATTTACCTGAAGTGTAGCAGTAGAAATATGGGTGCGTTTTCCCATACAAACTAGAGTATAGTGACTATTTAGATTGCAGAATGGTAGAAACCTCCATGTGTTCATAGTTTAGAGACAAAGCATATGGAATTGAATCAAGCAAAGCAAGTCATTTCTCAGAATCAACATTCACTGAGTGCTTCAATACGATAAATCTATCACACTGAATGCAAAACTTTTAATAATAGAAACTGTTACCTTGACGTTCTTACAAAATTCTGAAATAGTTCTTCATGTGTGAGAGTTTTTACATTTGGAAATTCGCTCAAAAGCGAATTTTTAGAAGTGGAGAGAAAAGAGGCTGCATTTTTAATATAGAATATTTCATTGTTTCTGTATCGTAAGAAGATGAAGGAACATCTTTTTCTGTTAGAAAGAAAATGGTCCTTTTGAAATTCAGCTCCCTCAGAAGATGAATTTTTAAATCTCAAATTCTGTCTAACTAACTGGTCCTAGCTTTATGTCCATGCAGAAAAAATAAGAATTTCATGCAGCTACCAAATATTTTAAACTAATATCCAGGCAGATACATTTGCAACACTTCATGATTTTTTAATACCTACAGGCAATATTCCAAATCAGGTCTTTCTCCCCCCCACCCCCAATACCCCAAAAATCTGTATTTTGTCTAGCAGCAAACTTTAAGTAGGGGGCTGATTTAGGTGGGCTAAGCAAGAGAAAAGACTGACCAGACAAGTGGAAAGACACTTGTAGAAATGGCCCTACCGAGTAGCCATGTGGCACGGGAGGTCTATGCTAGACAGAGTCCAGAAGAGCCCAGTTTGTGTCTCACAGTCCAAATTTGGCTGATGTATTTTTGAAGTTTCTAAAGGTTAACTACATGCTATAATACATTATAGAAAGACACAAAGCTGAATTTTACTCTGCCAGTCAAAAGCCTGGCTTTAAACTGCTATTTAGGACTGAGAGAGAGAGTGTACAATTTACATGTGTGAGAATGTGAGAATGATTTTACCTTCTGTTGTTTTTAAAACCACCTTAGGCCACGATTTTTAAATTGAGGCACAAGAAGATCTGCTGGGGTTCCCATAGCGACATTAACTTGTTTAACTGTCCTTGTTGAATGTAATACTTTCAGGACTAGTTTGGCTTTTAAATGTATACTTTAATTATGAAATACAACTGAGTGAAGAGTCTCAGGCACATTTTAACTTCTGCATTTATTGACTGATGCCATGTAAACAGAAAGCTTGATATTGTACTTCTGAGGAATTGCCCCCAAGGCAAGTGTATGCAAAACCCTTTATGTGGTCTTCCTGCCCCGATGTCTGGCCTCACTGCATTCCATTCCATATGGGATGCCTCAATCTCTCTAAATGTATTTATAACATGAGTAGGATAAAACAGAAACAAACTAACCTCGGATTGCTCCAGACTAGAGACTAGAAGCCAATGTGCCCTCTATTCAAGGCTGTCTAGCAGCTGACTCCTACCCCATCTTTTCTCCACAATTCATCATAGGGAATGGCCCACACCAAACACACTTGTCTTCTCCCCATCAGGGACTAGGCTGACACCTACTGCCCCCCAGAACCTGATGTTTCCCCCTTCCTTCCCACCAACTAATCTTTCTCTTTGGAACCACTATCGCTGCCACTAACACTACTCTGGGACACGCTGTTTGTGACCAGGCAGCATCTCTCCTTTTTTCTTTTGATAACAGTGTCTTCATTTTCCTTTGAGGAACTTTCCTGCACCTCCATACATTCAGGTGGCACCATCAGTGAAGCTTCCCTGCCCCAAACTGTCGAGAGATGAATCCATGACCCAAGTTAGACCAATCACATTCTTCCGAAAACTGAATTTTAAGTGCATTCAAAAAGGAAAAAGAGTGGGAACTCAATTTTTCCAATGGTAGTCCTTCAAGAGATTTCCATTTCTTCTAGATTTCTGTGGCTCAAAGTCTGCTAGCTGCTAGGTTCCCTATTTGAGTACCTGTTTATATATTATCTGAGATTGTGATTTAGAGGCTTGGGATGTGCATGTTTTGCTTTGACAGCCAGATCCTATCTATGCTCTCTGAAGACAGGGCTGGGTCTGTATTTATTGTATTAGTCCATATAATTTAGCACAATGTAAAGTACTCAGTACTCTGCTATGTTGTACGACAAATGAAAAACCAATCTTAGAAACTCCATTTTTACAAAGTGCAATTTGAAAGCCAACTTATATCCTTTTTGAGGCAAGGTGGTAATAAGAATTTTGGCGGGGGGGGATAACAGTTGACTTAAAGAGAGCTTACAACAACTTGTACACCTAATAATAGCCTGAAAATAATGTTAGCATGGGTCATACTTCCCCAATTTTAGGAAACAGAAACTAAAATTCTATTTCAGACGTTAGTCTCTGAATTTAAAAAAAAAAAAGTTTTGGGGTAAACAGAAAAGGAGAAAACAAAAAAATTCACCTAGGCCTTGTGACTTGCGGGGGAAACAAGGAGTACTGTCTCTCTGCTATCAGATAAGAGAGGAAGAGAGTTTAACTATATTAGACTAACACATAAACAAATGGTTTTTTTTGCACTTCTAAAAAATGGCAGGGTATGGTTTCTCAGAATCATCTGACTTATAGCAGTAATTTAATTGAAAGCTTATAAATTTCAGAGAACAAACAAAATGGTTAGACATAAACACAAACAAGCTTGAGCACATTAAGCTTTGAAAACACAGAATATGGTACACTCTTCCAAATCATTTACGAGTGCTTAAACAAAAGAGCTCACCCATGATAAACAGCAGGATATACAAATTCTCTTTTCTTCTGGTTGTCCTTTCAAAAATGAAAGATCTACAGAAGTCTTTGTACAGTGTAATCCTCATGATTCAGCCATGAGAAAGGAGTGAAAATCCCAACTTGGAGGTTTTTTGAGTCAAGTGTAATGGTTTCTGGAATTTGCCTTGAACCCACACTCGGTGCATTTTCACTTGTTTTTTCCTATTCACTTGTAAACGACGATCAACCAGATTTTGCTTCTCGTCTAACCCAGCCTTGCAGAACATATTGTGGACTTCCCCTGTGAGACAAAAATGGCAATCAAATGTATATGTGACTGGTGCATGGTGGTGGGAGACAGGGGGACAGTCAGGAACAATGGAATATTAATGGAATGACTGACCATCTAAATTTCAGTTATACTAAGAGACTCCCCGGTACAAACTGGTTAAGGAAACCTGTAAAACCAAATGGATTTCTTCTACTTCACAGAAATACACCAAGTATGAACAGCTTAATATGGCAGGCATAAACAGATATACAATACTACTGGTTGCAGATTTCAATATTTTGAAAGGTGCCCTCTGTTCTGAGGTTTTTTTTTGTTTCCAGAGACCCCAAATGGCACATTATAAAAGTACTCACATAAGTTTGGAGAAAATCCTTGAGTGGAGAATTCATTTTAAACACTTTTTTAAAAATGAGAAATTGACAAGAGATAAGTAATTTTCCATGGACTCTTAAAATCAAGTTCCCTCCTCTGGCTGTGGTATGTCATCATTTTATTCTATATCTGAGCTAACAGTATTTCCAAAATGGAACAGACTACACCTTCACTTGGCTATAAGAATGAAACAAGCGATTCTTTAAAGCAGTTTCAACTGGAAAAAGATTAAAAGACAAAAAGGCCATTTTCGAGCTTTCACATAGAACAGTTATAGTGTGGTTACAGAGTAACCAAAGAGAGTTCTTACAGCTAATTACTTTCCCTTAGAGATAAGCATACCTTTTGTAAAGAAATATACTCTGGTACCATCTCCTCGAACATAAAAATTTTCAGATAAGCAATGTCCTGAAAAACATAATTGTGATCAGAGAAACTTAGTATTCCTTAAAACAAAACAGAAACGTGACATAAAATATAAACAAGGCATTTTTAAAACACATGAAAAGAATTCCAAACTGAATATACCCCTTTTAAAACGAAGCTGAGTCTTATCATATCTTCCATAATCCCGAAATAATAGCACTCCTCCAGGTTTCAGTAAGTTGGACAGTCGGTTTACAACGCCTTGCATCCTTTGAAAACAAAGCAAGATACTATCTGAAGAAGTCTTGCTTTACATGACACATTTAACCTTTTTAAAGATAAAATAAGGAAAGTTCCATGGGGCCAAAAAAATCTCACCACAAACCTAAGGGCGATGAAACCAAAAATATTTTGTACAGAAAGGAAAATGGATACCAAAACTTGCTAAACGATTAGACTCAGAAGACCTAGAGCATAAATCACCCAAATGACTGAGTGGTGTCTTCGCAGAGCTTGATGATGTCAAAGCTGCACTGCAAAACTACATAGATGGTTCCTGGTATTTCTATCAAGTTACGGTAGTCCCAAGGCAGATAAACATTGAAGTCACTTCATTTTCCTTGCAAGATAAAAAATATGGTGGAGCCATCCCAAATTGCACATATCTAAACAGAGATCACGTTTCCTCCAAAACTAGCCCCTTCTTCTTTATTTAGTTCAAAGGTGCCCTCATTCACTGAAGTGTTACACCTCAGAGGTATTTTTTTTTTTTAGATTTTTTAAAAAATTTATTTATTTGACAGAGAGAGATCACAAGTAGGCAGAGAGGCAGGCAGAGAGAGAGGAGGAAGGAAGGAAGCTCCCTGCTGAGCAGAGAGCCCGATGAGGGGCTCGATCCCAGCACCCTGGGATCATGACCCGAGCCGAAGGCAGAGGCTTTAACCCACTGAGCCACCCAGGTGCCCCATACCTCAGAGGTATTTTTAATCCCTTTTCTTTTCCTCCTCTTTCACGAGTCTCTCCACAACCACGTGGTCATCCTATTCTAGGTCTTCTTTTTTTAAATGATGTTTTGTCTCCTTTTTGTTTCCCTTTTGTAGTCCTTTAGTACAAATTGCTACCTCCTTAGGCCTGGAAACAGAATACTTTCTAACATCCTTTATTATTCCCCTGTTAATTCTTCCTGCATATCAGTGAGGAATTATTCTACTTAAAATGATGGTTTTGTCAAATCATCCCTTTGCTCAAAAATGTTCATGATTTTAATCCATAGGATAAAATCTCAATTTCTTAGCTGGGCTCTTAAGATCTCCTTCAACCGGCCTCAATCTTTCCAACATCTTTCCCACTATACCCTAATGTGAAGCATCAACTCTGCCCTAACTGTTCCAAGCTTGGCTCTGAAGCAATCCATGCCTTTGTTCACGTGGTTCCCCTCAAAGAATTCTCTCTTATTTTCTGCCTATTTAAATTCTATTCACACTCCAAGCCCCAGCTCAATACTGGGAAGCCTTTACTTACTTTCTTTTATTATTTATTCTTTTCATCTGGTTCCCAATCAAATACAACCCCTTGTGACTGCTCTTGACTTAATGTTTTTGGTTAAATGTTCATGGTCTTATGTGTGATTATGGGTCAGAGATGGCAAAGATTTCAGATCTCATATCCATGCCGAGTGACTGACATTGGCTGCCTACAGAGCTCAGTGGGAATGACAATCAGGGTACAAAATCAGTTATGAGTGTCTGCCCTGAGCAGAGAATGGTAAATGGAAGCCCGTGTGCTGAGTCCTAGCTATCTCTGCTTTATCCACGCTACTTAAAGCTTCTAGATTTTATTTTAAAAATGAGGAGTTTGCATCAGATAATCTGTAAATTCCTTCCAATTAAAACAATGTTCAGTGGAATAAAGGAGAGAAAAGCCAGATTTATGTCAGGTTATGAAGGAAGTAGATAGTGAGAAAATGAAAGTCACTATGAAAACAAGATAGAAATATAACATAAAGAGGTGGCAAAATTAGATGAAATGCTCTCTTAAAAAATTGGAACATAAGTACATGAAAGGGAAAAAAAGAAAAGTCTTTTTCCTTGTTTATTTTGTTAGAGGTTATTTTCACACTGTTTATGGCTTTAGAGTTCAGCAATTAAAGAAAACCATATCTAAACCTTAAAATATTCGCATTCAGGATAAATGTCTTATGTACAGAGAATACCTTTCTGCAATTACTACTAAAACAAAGTATGAAACATAAATGCAGAAAAATAAACAGCCAGATATTTCAAAATGCAGCCATCTCCCTCTGCAAATCCTTTCTTCCCAACTATCCTTTAACATCTGGGGTTGTAGGTAAAGGCAACGGTGGGGGCTGCTTTTCTTCATCAGCCCACCTTGCTTGGCTTGGTGCCAAATTCCAGAACCAGTTCCTGAGGACTGCAGGGGAGCGTGGGCTGGGGGAGATGGACAAGACAAGAAACGGGAGAGGGCCCCTTTTCTTTTTCTGCCTTGGGCCAACTCTGCTATCCTCATCTACCTCTAGATGGAAGGTGAGGAAAAGGAAAAAAAGAGATTTAAAAAAGGAGTATTTATTGATTGCCTACTCTATGCTTGGATCTGTGGTAAACATATTGTACTTTCTTTTATTTCAGTGGTAAGGACAGTTAGCTCTTCTTTTTAGCCTCTTATGGTTTATTCCCATTTAAGCTGGATCCCCCAGTCTCAAGGTCTAGCAGAACTGCTTGCCATTCATTTGTGCATGGATTTTTCAAGCTGGTAGGAAGCCACTTTTCTAAAACTTCCACAGGGCTGAATATACCACCAGAGTCCCAAATGACCCTAAAGATACTGTCTTTTCACTTACTACTGCCTTCCTTCTACTTACTCACCTATTTTCAGATCATTTCTATATAGGTAAGAAAGTGGCTAGGGGCAGGATACATCTGAATTTATTTTATAATAAATAAATAGAATGAACATACTGTAGAATAACAGTAATCTTTCCAAGACATCTGCTTCCCCTTCTTTTTAACATTCAGTTCAAATCATGAGAAAATACATTATCTAAACTAATTTTAAGTAGAGTTTTTGTGGTCTTATTTGGAATTTAAACATTTCCTGTTATAGGTGTCAAATAGAAAATCTTGTTCTCTAACCACCTACTCCATCCTTTTAACTATTCATTCTTTTAACTATGAAACAAAATACATAGATGACATCTCTCTACCAGTACCTGAATGATGCCAATATTCTAAACAGATTAGCAGAAAGACACAGATTATAGAAAGTGGGAGGAAAAAGTGGCTTCATGGAATGTGATATGTCTCACCAGGTGCAAAAATATGTTTCATTCGGATTTATTTGGAAATTTAATTTGTCTTTCAACAAGCAATCAAAGTGCTCATCTCTAAATAAGAGGTAAAAAGACTATAAAGGGTCCTAGTGAGTTTGTAATTGCAAAGGGAAAAGCACACGTTAACTCGGTTTCTTTGGGAAAGGGTCACACTCATCAAACAAAGACTGGTTGATGTCAAGTCTCTACCAGCAGAGGAAATTTTCGGGGTTGAATCTACTGCCTCAGCAGAAAATCCAATTTTAAGAAAACTTACACATGCACAACCCTTGCCACCACACGTGTGCCTTAATACAAGTGAGGTGGCAGAATTTTAAGAGAGGTGATCATTTTAACAGCTGGTAGTATCTCTTTCTGTTTCCTCTCTGGACAAAAGCTATGTCGCTATTTCAAAACAATGTATGAACAAAAAATTTAAGTCATAAATATTTAAATGATGGCAATGGCCAATCTTAGATGATAAAGGTCCAAGGTTAATCTAGCAAATCTTGAGTACCTCTAATTCCCTGGAGAACTTCTTTAACACAAAATTTTTAAAGCCTGTCGACAGACCAGTGTGAAACCAAACAGATTCACAGCCCACCTCTTCACGAACATTCGGTAAGATACTAAATCAAAGATGTTTGTTTCTGATCACCAAGTACAATTTCCCTCTTGGGAGTCTATTAGGCTGTTCTGAATTTGTAATTTCCTTGAAGCACCGTCACTTTTAATAGGTATGTGTCTAGCCAGAGAATGCTCACTTCTCTGACAGTGATAGAAAGCTCACTAATGAAGCAGTTTGGCCAGTTTCTTTCCCCAAGTCTGAAGAAAGGAAAAACTGCACTTAAAAGGCTGCATGTTCTACACAGTGTAGTTCACTAAATCATAAATTCAAGAATTGTCACTTTTTTTTTATATTTCTGAAAACTACAACTGATAAAGGGGCTTTACACATTGCTTTGCCCTTCTGTCTTTGGTTACCTGTCAGGATGAATGGAAGAGAGCACAAAGACAAGGAGAATGACGTCCAGTATCCCATCTGGGAAAGGGTAAGGTAAGCCCTCATCACAGATGTCATGAACAAAGGCACAACACTGGGCTGCTCTGTAGGACGAGTGCAACTATCATGATAAAGGAATAAAAAGGGGGGGAAAAAGCAGTTAGCAGACTTCTAGCATTTTTCTTAAAATAAAAAGGTCAAACTTTATATTTCTCCTAGTGCCTTTTTCCTCTGTAAATCTGGATGCACTTTATTTCAGATTCAGTATTCTGTAAGCTTATTTCAAGCTGCCACAAAAAATTAAGTCTTGTGCTTGGACTCATAGCATTCTTCACAATCCCTCTTTAGTTTAGAAAGAGGAATGGGGGCCACCTGGGTGCCTCAGTTGGCTAAGTGTTTGCCTTAGGCTTGGGTCATGATCCCAGGGTCCTGGGATTGAGCCCCGCATTGGGCTCCCTGCTAGTGGAGAGTGTGCTTCTCCCTTTCCCTCTGCCTGGTACTCCTCCTGCTTGTGCTTTCTCTCTCTGTGTGTCAAATAAATAAAATCTTAAAAAAAAAAAAAGGTCCAGAAACTTAAAAAAATAAAAGATAAAAAGAGGAATAGGGCAGGCCTTTGAGTCAGTAGGCAACATTGTTGAAAGACTACCATATATTATTTCAGAGGCACTGAGATGGTCCTCAGCTCTCTCTCCTACTGCTTGTTCCATGCCTCCTTTGGCTTAAAATACAAATACCCTCTACTACATAATCAAAAATTAGATAATGGTAATGATAGCACAACTTCGTACATATACTAAAATCAGTGAATTGTATAAAGTGGTGAATTCCATGGTGTGTGAACTGTATCTCAATAAAGGCTGTTATTTAAAAAAATTAGAACATACATACACACAAATTTGCCCATAAAACAATACCAGAAGGATATATACCAAAATACCTAACCTTGATTCACCATAGGACTCTAAGAAGTGTGATTATAGGTGAATTTTATCTCTCTGTTTAGGCTTTTCAGTATTTTAGAAAATGTCTACCATGATTAACTATTACTCAATATCAGAAATTAAGTTCCATGTACTGACTATACATTTCTGTTAGCAGAATTTCCATTCCTTTCCCATCTCCTAAAAATACTTTTTGCTAAGGTAATGCTTACTAGCTTTTGGGGATTGGTCAAACAAGTCCAGGCTCCCCACTGCTTTTCCAACAGTCTAGGACAGTTTACACTTGTATTATATGCCTTCTCAATTTTTTTTAATGTCATAATTTTTAATTTAATGAGTACCTCTTACATGTTAGACTGTGTACAGGGATCTAGGGACATAAATATGAATAAGATCATCTTGTAGGGGGTATCTGGGTAACTCATGGTGAAGCATCTGACTCTTGGTTTCAGTTCAGGTCATGACTTCCAGGTTCTCAGATCAAGCCCCATACTGAGATCAAGCCCTGTGTTGGGCTCCACATAAGGCATGGATCCTACTTAAAATTCTCTCCCCAGGGCACCTGGGTGGCTCAGTTGGTTGTGTGTGACTCTTAGTTTCAGCTCAAGTCATGGTCTTAGGGCTGATGAGACCCACGTTGGGAATTCACGCTCAGCAGGGAGTCTGCTTGAGATTCTCTCCCTCTCCCTCTGCCCCTCCTCCAGCTTGTGTGCATGTACTCCCTAATAAATAAATAAATAAATAAGATTCTCTCTCTCTCTCTCTCTCCCCCCGCTCTTTAAAAAAAAAAAAGATCACCTTGTAGGACCTGTTGACCTTTCTGGGTGTACCAATGCCTTCAACTTTATTTTAAATACAAAACAACTTCTATCATTTTAAGGTGATACCTTAGGTATCAGCTGATGATATGATTCCCAGAAATAGTAAAAGCTCGGTTAAAAATGGTCACAGATAACATTTGAAATATTTCAAAAATATCACAGCAGCAGCAAATGAATTAGATCCTTACCTGGCTCTCCTTAAAGAAAATATGAAGCATACCTTTACTAGCTCCACAGCTCTGGAAGCAAAATCACAACAGTAAAGAAAGGATTCTGGAACATTCCTATGAAAATGAAACCAATATTTAAATCTAGAGTTAATCTATGCTCAGGTTACAGAAGAAAGGAAACTGTAGGCTTGAACTTGTTAAAAAGTATTTCTTTAATAGAATTTTGGATGACACTTGGATTGTTGTTTCTTCCTTTTAGACATTATTCTCTATAGTGGCATAAGGGTGCCTTCATGTTGCTTCTGAAATAGCATTGTCTCAAATGCTTACCATTAATTACAGGGTAACTTTCAAATTCCTGTCCTGCTTTTGAAGTTCTCCATTATGTAAGGCTACCTACCCTTACATCCCATCATACTCTCACATGGGAAACCTCCAAAGCTATCCATCATCACTGCTCCATCTTTCTCCTGCTCCCCCCATCTCCCCACACTCTTTCTTCTGTGCCTCCAGCCAGTAAGGCCTATAGCTCCTTCATAGCTTAGTCAAGTTCTACCCGTGTGCAAGGACTCTCAGACCCCTGTGTCCTTGGTGCTTCAGTCCCCTTTCTCTGTGTACAACTCATTTGGTTCTTGACCCTCTCAGAGAGGCTCTGATGCCCCTAATGGAACAGAAACATAAATATATATATATATATATGTAAACACAACTTCTAAACATTTATTAGCCTCATTTATGTACGAAACATTAGAATACAAGGTAGTAAATGAAATTGTCTAGTAAATAGTAAAAGTATATATTTTGGAGCCAAATAGACCTGTGTTTAAATCCTGAATTTTCCATTTATTAACTCTGTGAATTTGACTTAACTTCTTTAATACTCAGTTATTTTATTTATAAATTTAAAGTCAGTCATTTTTTGGCAGGGGATGTTTATACATATCAAAGTCTTGAATAGTTTTAAGTGGCCTCCACTGAACTTGTAGACAAGTTCTATTTGGCCTTTACCTAAAATTCAGTTACAATGTCTGGATCGTGGTTACTCATGGGCACACATATACTCTGAATTTTGTGGACCAGTACCCTTCCTGATCATCCCTAGTATGATGGTATCAAATAATCCTTGCATCATGTTACTTAATACCATGTATGAATCACAGAAAGAGATTAGTTTGTCATTAAACAATAATTTAACTCTGGTCCTGGCTCTTGTGGGTTTTATAGCCTAGCTGAGGACATGACTGGTTTTATATAGCTTTTATAGGGTTGTGGATCGGGCAGAGTTCCAAAGGTGTAAGTCTTCAGAATTTTGTAGAAGGGGAATAGCATTGCTGAGTGGGGAGAAGGGTAAATGGTATAAGGGCTTAGAGATGGGAGTCCTATGCCAGGGATAAGAAGCAGAGTTGATCCTGAGAGCTCAAGCCAGTATGTAGCAGGTTATATAAGTGGGCCTTAAAACACATAATTAGAACTTCTAATTTGGTTCAGGAGACATTTCAAGCAAGGAGAACTACTAAATAAATATGAAATACAAACACAAATATGTATTCTACAAATAAAATCCCACCCAGGTTCAGATTATACTCTTAAATGCTACCCATTGATGGATACTACATTCATGTATAATGCATTAATTCTGTGGCATTGGGGATTTACATTTAATTTAAGATTAGTTAAAATATGATGAATAGGATTTGGTTATGACTTGCGCTGCTTGCCTTTTTCATCCGTCCCATATAAAAAACAGTGCTTTACTCCAGCCGATACCCCTACTGTTTCCTATGAAATCCATATATTTGTGACCCCTAACTTCCTGGGTGGTCGGTCACATGTGTTTGAACTTTTCTCAGGAAGCACTCACATGCATATAGCCCTATGTAATATGATGGCTAAGGGCAAGGGCTCTGGAACCAAACTGCCTATGGTTTGAATCCTGGCTGTACCACTCAGTTGTATCATCTTGGAATAGTTACTTAATTTCTCTGTAACTCCATTTCCTCATCTATAAAGCAGAGATAAATATGGCACCTAAGGTCATTGTAAGGATTGGAGCAATTCATATAAGTTTCCAAAAAGGTGCCAAACTCAGAGTAAGCACCTGCTAAATGTTAGTCATTGTTATAACTGTTGTTGCTATTGCTATTATTTTTATTATAACCATCATATTATTATTATAGGAAGACCTGCCTCTGCCTTCTAGGAACTTAAAAACTTAAGAACTTATCACAGTTCTGTAAAAACTTCCATATAACTCAAAATGCTTCTCTGGACACTAGCACATCTAGCTCCTTATAAAAGGTATGCAGTCAACCTTTGGGCACTGGTTGCTAAACACCCACAAGATACAGAATAGTCTAGTAGCTAAAGGAAAGCATGTGCCATTTGCCATGTGTCCTACCAGGACAGCAGCATGACCTCTGAGACTGAATTCCCAGTGCAATAGCAGCCCAAGCTGAGGTCTTATGACCACCCAATGACTTTCCAGAGCTTTTCTGTAAAATCAGCTGACTGCCTTGGCCCTGCTCCCAGGAAGCAGGTGTAAATATCACTACTACCACCACACCACTCTCTTGGCAGGGGGGTTTAAGCATTAAATGATCCTTGGAGAATGATATGACCTCTCAATTCCAGAGGTCTAATGATGGTAAAGTATTCAGAAAATGTAAAATATTAATCCTATAGTCTCCAAAAGTAATAAAACATAATTTTTTAGGTGGGGAAAAAAGTCTAATTCTCCCTTTGGAAGCCGAAAAAAAAAAATCACTGATTGCCTTTTAAAAATTAATTAATTATCTTAGGTTATCAAGCTACAATGATTAAAACAAAACAGCCAAGAAGTATCAGGGAGTGAGGAAAAAAGTGCTTGCAATCATTCATTGGAGGGAGAAGAGGGAAAAATAGAACAACTAGGAATTCAGAGATATTATCCAATATGTATTGAGCTCTAACTACCTGTATTGCACTGTTAGGTTACCTGGAAAATCAGATTAGGATAAAATATATTTTCTACTTCAAGGAATATATGCAGTGGTTGGAGAGACAAGACTTAAAGAAATGGTATGCTAAATAATACCTTGAGATGAGTCATAAAGCAATTCATTATCAATTGCCAAAGTAGTAAATTTATCTGTATTGTAAGGTCAGAAGTTACTGGGGTGAAGGAAACTGAGTATGTGGTATAAAACAGCAGGAAATATTGGTCCAGAAATGGGGAAAAGGGAAAACAAAGAAAATAAGTATGAAAAGAGAAAGGTCATTCAGAACTGCAAATTTGCCACTATCACTTCTGCCTGGCCACTTTAACTGGTAATCTAATGGTATTAGGAAATTACTATTTATTATGTTAGGTTTAGAATAGTAATGAAGAATGTACTGATTTTTTTTTTTGGAGATACACCACAAGTATTTAAAAATAAAGTGTCATGATGTTGGCATTGTGTTAACTGTTAAATCAAGGTGGTGGGTTTGTGAAAATTCACTGTTATTACTCTTTACTTTTCTGAATGCTTTCACATTTTCATAAGGAAAAGCTAAAAAAAACCATCATTAAAATTTAAAATACACATAGAGAAAAGACTGAAAGGAATTATAACAAAAATGCTGACAGCAGCTATGTTAGGGTGATGGGGATGATGGGTGATTCCCACCCTCCTCTCCTTTAATGGAAATGTTCTGCAATGTGCTCATGTCAATTTTATAATGGAAAAATAATGTGAAAGCTACTGTGTAAACTTAAAAAAAGAAAAAAGACCAGCCCCAGGTACAAGTGCTAGAAAAATCTTTGTGAGGAGTGTTGTCTTCATCATGGAAATACTACAACACATATGTGAGGCGGTGAACAGGAAGGACGCATTAGGAGAACACCTCTGTCCCTATTATCTACACCTGCTTTTTTTGTCTTAGGGTTAGTTGCTGTTACCTCTAAACAATTCCAAGTCTAGAGACAACCACTGGACAAAGGGAAGTCTTAATACTGGGTGTGGCTCCAGAAGTGATGACAAAATAAAATGAGGTTAAAGTATAATCTTTAAATTCAATTCTCTCTGTGGGAAATGGCTCCTACAGACCTGGAGGAGCAAATGGAATTCTGAAGTTTAGCAATTCACAGCTTAGTGGAACGGTCAAATCTCTGGTTCTTTTCTTATTCTCTCATCCACACACACACACACAAGCTTAAAAAATTACTTCAACCCACAGCTGTGAAACACTCTTTTCAGAGTAATTCCTAATTCACACAAAATTTGACACTAGGACTAAGACAATGCTTTTGAAAGTTGTTTAAGCCATTGTTTATATGTGAACAAGAATACTACTGGCATATAGATGACATTTTTCCAGAATTTCTTAACGCCCCATACATATGTAAAATTTTGCAAGAGAAAACTTTAAGACTCACTGTAAAGTGTTCAAAATTGGAAAAACACTATTTCCAGCTCCACAGCCAACCTAAAAAAATCAAAAGAATAAACAAATATCATGAAAACAAGGTTAAATTTTCCTCACCAATGTTAGATTTTTTTTTTTTTTTTTTTTTTAACTAGAAAGAAATGTACCGGATGTCTAGGTGTTGAAGGGTCTTTCTTTCTTTCTGTTTTTTAAAAGATTTTATTTATTTATTGGACAGAGAGAGAGAGAGAGAGAGCGCACACAAGCAGGGGGAGGGGCAAAGGGAGAGGGAGAAGTAGACTCCTTGCTGGGCAGGGAGCCCATGGGATCATGACCGGACCAGAAAGAGATACTTAACTGACTGAGCCACCAAGGTGCCCCAGAGGAATCGGAGGGTTTTCTAAACTGGAAAGCAATCGAATAAGTCACAAGAATAATGCTGACAAATTTAACTATGGAAATATTTAAAATTTTTTACACACCAAAACTCAAACCAAATTAAAAGGTTACCAACACACTGTAAAAAAAATTGGTGGGGCGCCTGGGTGGCTCAGTGGGTTAAGCCTCTGCCTTTGGCTTAGGTCATAATCTCAGGGTCCTGGGATGGAGTCCCGCATTGGGCTCTCTGCTCCTTGTAGGGAGACTGCTTCCCCACCCCCTGCCCCCGGCCTGCCTCTCTGCCTACTTGTGTTCTCTCTTTCTCTGTCAAATAAATAAATAAAATCTTTTTTAAAAATTGGCAATAAATACAGTAAAAAGATAGTATTCATTAAGAAAAATAACATAAATAAGCAAAGGAAATAAACAGAACACAAAAGAAGTGCAAATAGTTTCTAAACATTTGAAGAACGATGTGACCTAGTTAACAATCAAAGAAATGCAAATTAAAACATGGTATAATTTTCATCTGTCAAAGAGGAAATCACTTAAAATAAGAACACTTTTTAAAAAAGATTTTATTTATTTATTTGACACAGAGAGCAGGCAAGAGCAAGGGGAGGGGCAGAGGGAGAGTAGCACACTACCCACTGAGCAGGGAGCCCAATGCGGAACTTGATCCCAGAACCCCGGGATCATGACCTGATCTGAAGGCAGATGCTTAATCAACTGAGCCCCTAAAATAAGAATATTCTAACCAAGGAGGGTATGATGAAACAGACATACATTGCCATGAATTGGTATTAATACAACTTCCTAAAAAGTGATTTGGCAATATATACTAAGGGCATTAAAATTTTTTTTAACTTTTTTTAAAAAAGATTTTATTTGACAGAAAGAGACATAGCAGGAGGGGGGAACACAAGCAGGGGGTGTGGAGAGGGAGAAGCAAGATTCTCGCTGAGCAGGAAGCCTGAATGCGGGGCTCCTTCCCAGGACCCTGGGATCATGACCTGAGCAGAACGCAGATGCTTAACGACTGAGCCACCGAGGCGCCCCAAGGGCATTAAATTTTTAAAATAAATTATGAGCTAGTAAATCTGACCCAAGATAATAAAAGAAAATGGAGAAAAGTCTATACCCAAAGATATTTTCTGTAGAAAATCTGAAAACAATTTAAATGTCTAGTATTGTGAAAACAGATAAGCAGAATTAAAGTACTTTCCATAGGAAAATATTTTGCAGCCACGAAAATATTTATAGAGAATTTTTAAGATAGAAAAACTGCTTATGTTGCTTATGTTATAATGTTAAATAAAAACAAAGCAAAACCCCAAAATACAGGTACAGTATAGCTCAACTGTATAAAACTGTATAAACAAAAGGAGAAAAGTTAGTAAAATGTTAAGCGTGGTTAACTCCCTTGTATGTGGGATAGTAGATACTTTTATCTACTCTTTTGCAAACTCTCTAATCAATATATATTACCTTTATAACAGAAGGAAGAGATTTATTTTTAAAAATAGAAAGTCAATATCTATACTGGATTACAGTTAATTATATATCTCATTATTTCTAGTTCACTTAAAAAGGGTTAATAACAGGAAGAAATAGAAATTAAGGCCAAAACTTAATTGGAATTTATTTATTTATTTATTTTTAAGATTTTATTTATTTATTTGACAGAGGGAGATCACAAGTAGACAGAGAGGCAGGCAGAGAGAGAGACAGAGAGAGAGGGAAGCAGGTTCCCTGCTGAGCAGAGAGCCCGATGCAGGACTCGATCCCAGGACCCTGAGATCATGACCTGAGCCGAAGGCAGCGGCTTAACCCACTGAGCCACCCAGGCGCCCCTTAATTGGAATTTAAAACTGCCTTCAAGTTAGAAATGAAAACAAATTAAAAAAAAAATTAAAACCCAAACTTAGAACTTGATGATAGACAAGAGTCCTTTAAATATTCTTTATGCACAGAAGTATACTGAACACTTATTTAGTTAGATTTGATAATTTCCCCCTAAAAAAATCTGGATTATTAATAAAGTCATATGGAATGTACATTTCAAAGCTATTTGCCACCTCCCATCTTTGCCCCGGCCAGACAGTACCTCTAGGATTCTGAAAGTGGCGTTGCTACCAGGAAACAATTCTGTCTTCAGAGGTCCTTTTCTGTTTTCTTTAGATTCTAGGTTGGAAAAATGTGATCCCACTTTGCTTTGACTACGTGATGAACCACAACTTTTCTTATGATTGTTTTCTTCAGGCATAGTAGGGCAGTGCCTTCTTGAGAAACCATCTGCAGCACTAGTTTTTGCATGATCCCATGATAATTCCTGCAACTTCTGTTCAGTTTTTTGATCAACCGGAATAATTTCAGGAAATTCCCTCAACAGCCAATTACGATCCTTGAAAAACTTATTCTTATGAATCTTATAAAATGTGTTCCAATATTTACTAGCTTCATTCTCATACTTAACTAAAAGAAAAAAAAGGAAAAAAAGATTTTACTATGAATTATGTTTACTATTACTATTTTAATAACTAAATATATTTAATAAATATTGTTAAATATATTACAGACATTATGATTTATATTTACTATTGAGTAATTTTAATATTACAGTTTTTATCTGATTTTTTTTTTTGGCCTCTTACAAGTTAACACTATAGAGTATTGATTCTCCCAAAATGTGTCAGTGTGTGGGGTATTAATTTCTATCCCCATAAATCTGCTTCTGCTTCAAGAGTTTGGCCAATAAATTTTTGTGAGGAATATAATCATTGCAAACTACTTTCTACAGTCTGAATCTTGGATTCCTAATAATCACATTTTCATCAATAACCTGTAGGGCTCTGTATCATCTTAAAGGAAGGACCCCTCATTTTTTTTCTCTATAAATGCAGTTTCAACACAAGTGTCTTGTAATTGGTAATAAGTCAGGAAACTGCAGAATTATAAATGACATAATCTTAGAGCCAGAACAACCCACTGAAATAATCTACTCCAACTCCCTATTTTGCATTTGAAACTCCTGGAATCTAGGGGCCTCCCATTCTTCCTCCACCTTCAGAGGAATCTTCCTATTGACATCTCCTAGTATGAAGCCTTAGGAGATATGCCTTTTTAAAAGAAATTAGTGGTTTTTTATTTTTTTTAGAGGTTTTATTTATTTATTTGAGAGAGAGAGAGATAAAGAAAGAGCATGAGCAGGGGGAGAGGCAGAGGGAGAGGAAAAGGGAGATGGAGATGCAGACTCCCTGCTGAGCTGGAAGCCCAACATGGAGCTTGATCCCAATGACCTGAACAGAAGGCTCAACCATCTGAGCCACCAAGGTGCCCCAAGAAATTCACATTTTATGATGTTAATCCTTATAGTTCCCTCTGTCCCAGGGTCAGGTTAGGTCAACGGTCTCAGAACTTCAGACAATTCTTAGCTTTCTGCCTCTTTTTCTTTGTACCTTAAATTAATAAAATAATAAATTCACTTACTCCTTCATCCCTTCACTCAACAAACATTTCTTGAATGCTACTATGGACCAGGTCTGATCCCTGGGTTAAGAATTACTCTCACCCACTAGGGGCGCCTGGGTGGCTCAGTTGGTTGAGCGGCTGCCTTCAGCTCAGGTCATGATTCCAGGGTCCTGGAATGAGTTGGGCTCCCTGCTTATCCCTGCTTAGTGGAGAGCCTGCTTCTCTCTCTCCCTCTGCCTGCTGCTCTGCTTCCTTGTGCTCTCTATCTCTCTGTCAAATAAATAAATAAAATCTTTAAAAAAAAAAAAAAAGAAATTACTCTCACCCAATACAGACATGTGACATTTTTAAAGTGCTTTCAAAGAATAAAAAAGACCATCTATTGATATAATTTAAAGATTTCATGTTGGATTAAAAAGCAAAGTGTAGAAGAGCATATCTATGACACAAACATTTGCTAGGAAAAAAGAGAAGATAAAGAACACGTATGCATACACAGAAACACAATCCATGTACACATATATTTACTTGTATATGTACAGAATACTTCTGGAAGGAAAATCATGTAATTAGTAATACTGGCTGCCTCTAGGAAGGGGAACTGGGTGGCTGGGGGCCAGGGTTTGTAAAAGAATTATTTGAATTTTGATCTTTATGAAGTGACTATCCTCCCCCAAATAAACTAAATTACAAATAAAATCAGTGGACTCAATACTTTCATAATTTTAAAGAAGCTCCAACCCTCAGAACAAGCAGTTGCCCACAGTCAGGTTCATCCTTGTTATAGATATCCTTGTAGTTTTCCTTTTCTTTCCATTTTTTATCTTTATGGCCTTGTACATGGATCTCCACCCATCTGGCCACAAGACTTCCTTCCCATCAAGGCTGAATCGTATCCGGCAGCAGCACTGCTATAAAGACAGAAACTCCCATCTGTATTTAAGGTCTGAGAAATGAAAGTAGATCTCTGTAACAAAAGAACTATGTGAAGTTTAAGTCCAAAACATGCTCACATCTGCACCAATGGAAGGAAGCCCATATATGGTTAATCTAAAAATGTCATACATTATCTTTAAAATAGTTCTATCTCTACTTTTAAAAACTGGAGTATACCTGCTATACTGTGTGAGAAAATAAAAAACATTCTGAAATCAGATTCAGGAGGAATTAGCAAACTATCAAATTTCCCCAGGGTCTTCTCACACCTTCTTCTTTCTACCTTAAAAACTGTCTTTGTAACTCACTCTATGCTGGTAAAAAATATTTGTTTAATAAAAAGCAACCACCTAAGAAGAACTACAATTAGTCAAATCTCTAGTATCTGAGTTTCAATACCAAGCTACTGTGAGGTGAATTTGAACCTATCAGTAACTAGCATGTAGTATTACACCTTGATTAATTTGTGGAAATATTCCCCTAGGAATTAACTGCGGGGAAGGGCGTAAATAGCAGGACCGTAACTTGAAAGAAAAGATGTTCATAGCACTGCCATTTAAAATAGAAAGAAGTGGCAGGAAAACTTAAATATTCAACAACACAGGAATGACCAAGCAAGCCATGCAGGTCAAAACACAATAATCTTCCACAGCAATTAAAATTTAAAGGATAATGATATTAACAGAAAATATTCACACAGACTATACACTGCAACTCTAAAATTTATTTTATGCTGATTTATAATAATCAGATGAAAATTTAGAGCAACGGTAACAATGTAATGATTATTAGGTAGTTCGTTCTTTTAGAAAGGTTTACTGCATCTTACACATAAAAACAGAATCTTAGTTGAATGCTTCATCCAACTTGCGTATGAAGTTTCCTCATTTGATGAGAGGTTGAATTAGGGTATCTCTAGGTTCAATGTCTAAAAAGTCTATGTACCTTCTTATTAAACCCCATGAATTTATGGAGAACATTAAACAGTGTCAGTTCTACAAACTACAAAATCTTGGCTCAGACTGTGATCTTAAGTATGAGCCTGTACTACTACGTTTTAATTTTTCCAGCTTGTAAAGAAGGTGAATGTGCAGCAAGGGGACTGGAATCTGGCTCAGATTCCAAATATATCAAGCATCTAGATTCAACCCTAGACTATGCAATCTTTAAAAAGGATCTGATTACTATGGGAAGACCACAGTCAAGGGCTGCTAACCTGTATACTTCCAAGCCTTCTCCAAGGATTTCCCACACTTCAGGAATTAAGAGAAACAAACAAACAAACAAACACAATCATTATACCAATAAAAACAATAACATATATTGTTCATTATGTACCAGGTACTATGTCAAATGTTTTACTTGGATTTTTTCCCCATTTAATCCTAATAATCTCTCTCAGACATACTACTATTCCAATTTACAGACAAAGAAGTTCAAGGTCAGAGGAGACAGAAAATTTCCCAAGGTCACCCAGCTAGAGCCAGGACCTGGGTCATGTCTATTGGACTTAAAAACTCATGTTTTTGGGGTACCTGGCTGGCTTAGTCGGAAAAGCATATGACTCTTAATCTTAGGGTTTTGAGTTCAAACCCCACACTGGAGTAGAGATCACCAAAAAAAAAATAAACTTCAAAAAACTAAATAAATAAAGCTCATGCTCTAAACCATCACACTACATTGCCAACCTAAACAAAATCAAAATTAAACCTCTTCAAAATATCCCTGAAAATAACCTGTTTTTTTTTTATTTTGTACTTTCCTCTCATTATGAAGCATCAAACTGAAATTAAAACTCCAGTATGACATAATCAGTATGACTGAAATCAGTATGACTGAACTGTGAAAATAATGCTGATTGAAGGGAACCTTCATAAAAACAGATAAAAAATGCAGAATTAATTAAACACCATTTGATTTATATAAAATAAAAGCTATGCAAGATTATATGATGAAATTATGATGAGCAATGGGGAAACATAAAATGCTCTATGAGAATAGACTGGCTTGTGGGATAGATACAAAACAGAAACAGCACCCAGCATAGGTTGGGGTGAAGGCTAAAGGGCTGGAACTTTTTTGTTCTTTGCTTTTAAAGTTGTGCTCTCAGCAGTTATCCCAATCAATGCTGGCAACTCATAGTTCCCAGTAAGATGTGACAGCTTCTGAGATGCCACAGAAGCTCAATCAGACTCACAATTATGGTTATGAGACAACGTAAACACCTTTAGCATATGAGTTAATTTCCTGAACTTTAAAGGTGTCTGTGATAACGGGAAGTGGAAGAGCTATTCTCCTGACCATGAGTGAAAAATTTAGTTTCAACCTGCTGTTAACTCATTTCAAGTTCAGGCCAATAAAGTTGAATATAGTGTGGACAAATCTGCCCTGTGTTAATCTTGTCCAAAAGATTTTCTATTTATTTACTTATTAGCTTATTTTAAAGTAAACTCTACCCTCAACATGGGGCTCAAATTCATGACCCTGTGATCAAGAGTCACATGCTTTACTGGACTGAGCAAGCCAGGAACTCCCAACCGATTTTTTTTTTCTTTAGCAAGTGACTGATTTTCTTACCTTTTTTTATTATTATTTTTATTATGTTATGTTAGTCACCATACAGTATGTCATTAGTTTTTGATGTAGTGTTCCAAGATGCATTGTTTACATATAACACCCAGTGCTCCATGCAATCCATGCCCTCCTTAATACCCATCATCAGGCTTACCCATCCTCCCACCCCTCTCCCCTCCAAAACCCTCAGTTTGAGTCCCAGAGTCCACAGTCTCTCATGGTTCGTCTCCCCTTCCGATCCCCCCCCATCATTTTCCCCTTTCTTCTCCTAATGTCCTCCATGCTATTCCTTATGTTCCACAAGCAAGTGAAGCCATATGATAATTGACTTTCTCTGCTCAACTTATTTCACTTAGCATTATCTCCTCCAGACCCATCCATGTTGATGCAAAAGTCCAGCTGATTTTCTAAACAGGTGTATCAATGATCAATTTTTCTTGGAGAAGCAGTTTTTTCCTTTCATTTTCCTAGGCTGTGGATTCAGAGTTAATTGG